ATAGGAATCCTGAAGTAATTATATCTCAAGAGGGGCACGACATTTGTTCAGGCATGAAAAGGTTGGGAAGGGTGCTTATTAGAGCATGGTGCTAATTACAATTAATACAGTACATGTTTGAAGGGATAAAGTGCAGTATATTTTTATGTCCCTGACATGGAGAAATATAAAGTTGTGTGGGAGGGCGGAGAATCGGCAGACTATGAATAAAAAGTAAAATACCTGGCTGTACTACTGGTTTGAGTTGTGTTTGTGCTATGTCAATAGAAAACCATTCAAGTCAATGTTTGTGCTTTGGTGCAACTTGCATGTTTGCCAAACTAACCAAGTTTTGAAAATCAAAGTGAGAGATAATCAATATTTAACTCCCCCACATCACTCCAATGTTTGGTTGCTATATACCCGGTAGCGTCAAAATGTTAATATTGTGAGAATTGGGATTAATACCCTCCCACACATGGCAAAATGAAGTGTTTGTTTGCTAACTGCCTTAAACTGAATTTTAGATAAATTGATTAATGAAACCCTGCTATTTCATTATAATTTCAACATTTTGCCGTGAAACCAGTGGAGGCTGGTTCAGTTATTTCATTATAACCTCTCGGGAACAAAATAGTTGGGGTGGGGGAGAAATACTGGATCCAGGGTGGTGTCTGTCTAATCTGAAGATTGAAATTTATCTGATGCACCATATGCATTTTTTACCTGGAATCCCAAAGGATTTTTATGGAAATCAACACACATGATCAGTACTAAAAATATTTGTGCATGTTTGATTTAGTTTTTATTTTTTTATTTTTTTTCTATGGAGAAACAAATGGTATGAGTTAGCCTGCGGCTTATAGTTCTCGTTTCAAAATTTTATATTAACACAAGATTTAATGGGTGATTTTATTATTTCATGTATATGAAAATTGATTAGCATAGGTAAGATAAACACGATAACCAACTATATAGCTATTGCAAGTTGGGAAATCAGTTTCTACTAGAACAAATGCATTATGACGGAGAAGTAATACTTTTTGCTGGATTCCGGTAAATCTGTGGCGAGGTTTACATGTTAAGACAAAGCATTTAAACTTGAAATAAAGAAGCTGCTGTAAATGCCAGTCAAAAATCCAAAAAGTACACATGAACACACAGTGATGTCTTGAGCATATATAAATACAGCAATGTCTTACACATGTACACACATGTAGCAATGTCTTACACATGTACACACATACAGCAATCTTACAAATATACACAAACAGCAATGTCTTACACATATACACAAACAGCAATGTCTTCCACATGTACACACATACAGCAATGTCTTACACATGTACACACATACAGCAATGTCTTACATATGTACACACATACAGCAATGTCTTACACATGTTCACACATACAGCAATGTCCTACATATGTACACACATACAGCAATGTCTTACACATGTACACATACACACAAACAGCAATGTCTTACACATGTACACACAAACAGCAATGTCTTACACATGTACACACATACAGTGATGTCTTACACATGTACACACATACAGCAATTTTACACATATACTCAAACAGCAATGTCTTACACATATACACACTTACAGCAATGTCTTACACATGTAAACACATACAGCCATCTTACACATATACACACACAGCAATGTCTTACACATGTTCACACAAACAGTAATGTCTTACACATGTACACACATACAGCAATCTTACACATTACTCCCATAACATGAGAGGCCGCTGGTCGGCCTTTTTTCAATCGGATATGATTTTGACAACTGCGACCTCTCATTTCCGAAGCACTAATTCTTTGATGCAGTTTCCACCCGAAATCCGGGCGGAACAAAATCGGCTTGAAAAACTCACATTAGTGGTTAACAGTTCATGACAACGATGTCTACTCACGGTTTATATAATATAGATCTCATATATATGTCACAGACACAAATATATAGTATATTACGGAATAGAACACTCAAAATACCTGTCCATGTCGTTGTAGCACATCTCTGACCTACATTTAAAACATGGCTTCTGGATTAATACAAAATATCAGAGGGGATTTCAAACGGAACAAAATGATACGGAGTTTGTTTGTATTCCGGTTGTGAAATATTACATGTAATCCATTTTTGTATTAACCGGAAAAATCATGGCAAATGCTGTCTGCTTCTCTTCGAATGAGGAAAAACTCATTATTTATGTCTTTCTCATGAAAATTTTTCTCATATAATCATGGATTTATGGAAAGGAATATTTATTGGACCCTTTTGACCATTTAAATGTATGTAAACACGATATACTCTTTCTTAATCCGAACTTAGAAAATGTGATAGTCAGCATCAGGAAAATCAGCTATGGGCAGTTAGAGGTTACACGGCGCCTGTCAAAAGTTTTTCGCCCTGTAAAACCTCTAACATTGTTGGAGTATCTTACACATGTACACACACACAGCAATCTTACACATATACACAAACAGCAATGTCTTACACATGTACACAACATACAGCAATATCTTACATTTGTACACACATACAGCAATGTCTTACACATGTACAAACAGCAATGTCTTACACATGTACGCATACTAATGTGTTACACATATACACATACTAATGTGTTACACATGTACACTATACAGCAATGTCTTACACATGTACACATACTAATGTGTTACACATGTACACATACTAATGTGTTACACATGTACTCATAATAATGTGTTACACATGTACGCTATACAGCAATGTCTTACACATGTACACACATACAGCAATGTGTTACACATGTACACACATACAGCAATGTCTTACACATGTACACTATACAGCAGTCTTACACATATACACATACAGCAATGTCTTACAGAATATCTTTCACATGACGTACACCCATAAAGCAATGTCTTACAGAGATGTAGAATTTAGATTGAGCTTGAAATACAGGTGCTAGTCCTGCATCACTGTTGACATTTTTTTCCAAGAAATTCAGTCAATACCATGGTAACAGTGAGAACAGAGACTAAACATGTAACATGCTGATATAAATAATTGGGTAGTTTCCTGTGTAATATAAATGGTATGGACCCCAGGCTTTCCCCTCTTGCCGGCTACGCGTATCCTTGCAAGGAGGAATATTGATGTTTAGTAATCACATACAGAGTGTACTGTTGATTTCATTATATTTAGGTCATACATTAATGCTCTACTGACTTGATGTGCTTTTATCACCATGACAGCTTGACACATGAATAAATCTTTCGTCTTAATTAGAACTCTATGTTGATCGTTAGCATTGAATATAATCTCTAGACATGCATGCTAACGAGTCTTTAACCTTAATAATAGGGAGTCTTTTTTGTCATCAGGCAATGTTTTATCAAACAAACTGTCAACTGGAATATTAAATAAGGGCAAGTCTAAAATACATGTGTATCAATAAAACAATCATATTGATTGAATTTTTGTAAGTATCCTCAACTATAAATAGTTTTATAAATGAATATTATCTGCATGTTTTGAAGATAAGTTAAATACACTGTACATTTTAAAGATAATCACACTGTTTAATAATTTAAGGTACCAGGACATCGTATGTCTTATTGTTTTTTTGCAAGTTTTGGGTGCCACAAAATATTCTGTCAAATAAATTATATAATTCTTACTATATGTATAAAACTGATATTAGATGCATTGAATTCTGTTCAATCGCCATTTTCCTTTTTCAAAACTGAGTTCAGAATGTTAAGTAGGGTATTTTTTTATTCAGCTGAAAATTAATTATACTTCAGAAACAACAGCTACATCAAATTTCTGATTGAAGTGTTAAAAGAGGGGCGTGGGCTCAATGACACATCTTCGTGTCTCCTATTTATTCAGCTATCACTGATAAAATATGGTGGACAGTTCGTAATGCTATTAGTGATTTGTGCTAAACCGTTGATAAACAGTGCACAACTATTTATTTTAATACATAAATCCAAGTAAATGTATCCATTTTGCATGTATATATGTCACCCACTCAGTCAGCGTTATCTCCTTGTACATCTGGCCAAGGTGACCAAGGGTTAAGGTGTCTGACATTCTGCTAACACTAGCCCTCCACCACTTGGTCGCAGGTTCTAGACCTATGTGGTGCATTTGCTAGGTACTGGCCGTAGTCGTAGGTCGGTGGTTTTTCTCCAGGAACTCTGGCTTACCTCGACCACCAAAACCTGGCAAGTCCTTAAATGACCATAGCTGTTAATAAGGCGTAAATCACAAACAAACCAAACAAACCTTGTACATTTTAGTATGGGATGTGTAGTTAGGATCAAAGTAGCTTTTATTTGAAAGTTCAACAAAAAAAGTAGTACATTGTTACTGTAACTATTTAAAGTAAGACACTAATATATCATCAGTTTTTGTCTCGCTGCCACTTATTGGCAGCGAGACAAAGGTGTTGCTTTTCCGGCCACGGCAGCGATGGCGCGTCAACATTAAGTTTTTGTGTTTAAGTTAGTTTCTCTGAAAGTATAAGTACTACACCAACCAAACTTGGACCATTAATGCATCTTAGGTGGTACATCTCAACCCATGCATCAAATGCTGGATGTGGCCTACCTTTCATGGTCTATTGACTTAGTCAGCATCTTCATCAACATTAAGTTTTGCGTTTAACTTAGTTTCTCTGATTTGTGCATTGATGGTCAAAGTGGGGCATAGGCGAGACATATCAATCTGAATGGCTTGTATTCATTACTTCTTCCAATATACTTATGTATGAACAATACATAATACACGTTTAGAGAGATAAATGATGCTGCAATTGCTGCTGCTGCTAAATAAAAATTGACATTAGTTGTTGAGTCGGGAAAAAGATTGAAAGAATAACAGTCATGTTTTTATAATGAAAAACAAATCAGCTGTATTTCGTATTGTCAAGACTATTGTCTATGTTAAGGTTGTGCCTATGTATAAAGAATATGTTAATTTTTATTTGTTTGTCCACAGCTAACATTTCCCTGGTGGAGTACCGCGCCCTTCAGAGGGAGTTGGACGAGAGAAACACACAACGGGATGAACTCCTGTTCAAAGTCAAGGTATGTTGTTGTGGTCTCGGTATAATTGTGCCTTCTCATTGTAAGATGACCGGTCTTCAATTAGTCCTCACTCTATACAATCCAGCAACCTTGCTATATCAGCCTCTGTTTTCTGTTGAGGTTTTGGGGGGATAGTTAGACCCACTCTATACAATTTTGTATTAGATTAAAGCATGCGTCCTCCAACAACCTTGCTATATCAACCTCTGTTTTCTGTGGGGGGAGGGGGGGGGGGATAGTTAGACCGACTCTGTACAATTTTGTATTAGATTAAAGCATGTNTATACAATTTTGTATTAGATTAAAGCATGCGTCCTCCAGCAACCTTTCTATATCAGCCTCTGTTTTCTGTGGGGGGTTTGGGGGGGATAGTTAGACCCACTCTATACAATTTTGTATTAGATTAAAGCATGCGTCCTCCAGCAACCTTGCTATATCAGCCTCTGTTTTCTGTGGGGGGTTTGGGGGGGATAGTTAGACCCACTCTATACAATTTTTTATTATATTAAAGCATGCGTCCTCCAGCAACCTTGCTATATCAGCCTCTGTTTTCTGTGGGGGGTTTGGGGGGGCTAGTTAGACCCACTCTATACAATTTTGTATTAGTTTAAAGCATGCGTCCTCCAGCAACCTTGCTATATCAGCCCCTGTTTTCTGTTGGGGTTTTGGGGGGATAGTTAGACACACTCTATACAATTTTGTATTAGATTAAAGCATGCATCCTCCAGCAACCTTGCTGTATCAGCCTCTGTTTTCTGTGGGGGTTTTGGGGGGGGATAGTTAGACCCACTCTATACAATTTTGTATTAGATTAAAGCATGCGTCCCCCAGCAACCTTGCTATATCAACCTCTGTTTTCTGTTGGGGTTTTGGGGGGATAGTTAGACACACTCTATACAATTTTGTATTAGATTAAAGCATGCATCCTCCAGCAACCTTTCTATATCAGCCTCTGTTTTCTGTTGGGGTTTTGGGGGGATAGTTAGGCCCACTCTATACAATTTTGTATTAGATTGAAGCATGCATCCTCCAGCAACCTTGCTATATCAGCCTCTATTTTCTGTTGGGGGTTTGGGGGGATAGTTAGACCCACTCTATCCAATTTTGTATTAGATTAAAGCATGCACCCTCCAGCAACCTTGCTGTATCAGCCTCTGTTTTCTGTGGGGGTTTTGGGGGGGGATAGTTAGACCCAGTCTATACAATTTTGTATTAGATTAAAGCATGCGTCCTCCAGCAACCTTTCCATATCAGCCTCTGTTTTCTGTGGGGGGGTTGGGGGGGGTAGTTAGACCCACTCTATACAATTTTTTATTATATTAAAGCATGCGTCCTCCAGCAACCTTGCTATATCAGCCTCTATTTTCTGTTGGGGTTTTGGGGGGATAGTGAGACCCACTCTATACAATTTTGTATTAGATTGAAGCATGCATCCTCCAGCAACCTTGCTGTATCAGCCTCTGTTTTCTGTTGGGGTTTTGGGGGGATAGTTAGGCCCACTCTATACAATTTTGTATTAGATTGAAGCATGCATCCTCCAGCAACCTTGCTGTATCAGCCTCTGTTTTCTGTGGGGGTTTTGGGGGGGGATAGTTAGCCCCACTCTATACAATTTTGTATTAGATTGAAGCATGCATCCTCCAGCAACCTTGCTATATCAGCCCCTGTTTTCTGTGGGGGGTTTTGGGGGGATAGTTAGACCCACTCTATCCAATTTTGTATTAGATTAAAGCATGCATCCTCCGGCAATCTTGCTATATCAGCCTCTGTTTTCTGTTGGGGCTTTGGGGGGATAGTTAGACCCACTCTATTCAATTTTGTATTAGATTGAAGCATGCGTCCTCCAGCAACCTTGCTATAACAGCCTCTATTTTCTGTTGGGGTTTTGGGGGGATAGTGAGACCCACTCTATACAATTTTGTATTAGATCAAAGCATGCGTCCTCCAGCAACTTTGCTATATCAGCCTCTGTTTTCTGTGGGGTTTGGTTTAGGTAGGTTTTGCTGTATGTCATTTGTTGGCATTGGACTGTAAAACCACCCAGGCAGACATGTTACATGATGCATCTAGAGTATTGTTTAAAACCAATATAAATACATTATCATTTAAAAAGAAACATTTTCATTCAAATCTATACTTTGGAATTGTTTGTGTTATAATCGGCAATTTCATTGTTTTCCTATAAATTGTGTAATCCCTTAGCGAAAATGGTAAGAGCCCAAGGCCACTAGCGCGACTGAGTGAACCAGGAAATTATTGTAGATCCTTGACAGATTACTGGAATGGTTTTTTTAGTAGTATTTATCAAAGGGACATTTACTATGTTAAATCTTATGGCAACAATCTGAATCCTGTCAGGGATTTTACTTCACACATTATCTTAAAGCATGTGTATAATAAACATTGCTGGCAATGCAACGAAACCAGTCCAATAAACACTGCTGGGAATTCAACAAAACCAGTGCATTAGACGGGAACTTAGGGATGCAGTGCAATGCTGTAGTCTCTTGGAATTGCGTAAAATATGTGCAATTTAACGGAAACTGATACAGTGTTCACAGTTTATTGTCAGGGGAGTGGCTGGCCAGACAGGCCTGTTTTACAGTCGTTAGCCAAGCCGCTTTGTCTACAATGTATCGTACATGGACGTGCCGTCCTCACACAAACGCTAAACCTTTTTTTTTAGTGTAGCTGATGTCACTAAAATCAATTCTTGTATATCAATGATTAAACTGTCTAGATACTGCAGCAAATAATTTCCAGAGCATTTTCTTTCGCATCTGGCAAGCAATCCATGGGAACAATAGTTTATGAAATAAAAAGAAAGGTTAATTTGATTCTCTGTTTCTCTTTATAGATCTGTACATTTTGGTAATTTGAATTTTCTGAATTCTGCTGTTATTTTTGCAGGAATCAATATATATATAAATGTGTTGTGGTTCTACTTGTGGTAGAATTGATATATTTTTGTGCAACTTTTATTCTCCAGAGCTTCAGAAATTCAATCCATTAAGTAGATACTGTATGTGTTGAAAACATAAACATATCACTACCTTCATTTTTTAAATGTCATTGGCATTAATTTGAATTATACTTGGGTAAAAGGTTAATATTTAAATTAAAACAAAAATGTCAACAAAACCATCGTTTGAACTAAAAATTGATAAAACTAGGGCAATATGTGAACAAGGGACAGATTTACATGGAGACTCTTGGAAAAGTACAAGGAGAATAAGACCAGATGTTCCAGAAGGGTGATGGTCTTCTGGTTTATTGGTGACAATTTAAAGAACCGCCATGTAAATCTTTGTTAAATACAAGCAATCTAAAGCATCAACCTTCGTATCACCAATAAAAATACTAGGGGATCATGATGGCAACCATACTACTCAATAGTCTTCGTGAATCTGCATGGCTCTTGGCAGCCTAGCTTTAGATCGGCGATAATGAAACCTTTAAAAAGAAAATTAAAATAATAAACATTGGAAATTCAGGTATTTGAGATATAAAGATGAATTTCAGAACAAAAGTATTTGAACATGATTCAATGATATTTTACAGAAATATCTAGATTTCATCAAACTTTGAATACAGGAAACTGAAGTACTGTAGTGTTCAAATTGTTATTGTTAAGAATAATTTGCATACAGATTAAACAATAACACTGCATTGTCAGTTATTGTAAGCTACTTCACATTCAATTGATTGGTTCTTTATCTTTGTACAATTGCTTGGTAAAGCAATAATATCTGCTCTAAAACAAACAGCCAGACACTACAGGTATACTGGTGTCTGATCTCCCTTATTACATTTGCTATATTTTGACGCCACAAAATAAATGTACAGTGGTAAAGGTCTGCAGGGAAATCTACAGTGTTGCCATAGCCAATTCAGCACAGTATTCTGACTTCAGTTAAATTTGGAATATATCCATCAAGGATGTCAAACATTGTGACCTAATAATGTGGTACTGTATCCATGTGGGTAGCTACATGTACCTTGGAATTGAGCTAACTCAATAATAACAAGGTATTCTCTAGTGTGTTATGCCAATGAAGGAAGCGCAAAAGCAGTTGGAGTATTTTTTTCCCACACAGGATGTAAACAAGCACCATGCACCCTTCTGCAGCTGACAGATATTGCATTAGTTACTTTTCTGCACCTTCAAGTTTTTTTTATTGTTTTAAATGCTCAAAAGTTGAAAATGGTTGGTCAGGTAAAAGTTTGTCCATAATGAACTATTCCAACCTTTGAATTGGAAGAGTTCAAATGTGTCTTCAGGGATGAATGAGTTAAGGAGTTTCCTCACATGTATGAGGCACTGAGGCATACATGTCGCTCTAACATCTTTATGGGTACTTACGCGTTGAATGGAAATAGACGTTTCCCCATTTCTATAGACTAGATCTGCATCTGCCTATTAAACGTTCTATTGTTATTTCTTTTATAGAATGAACTTTCCTGGTTTTTTCCTTTAATGGAATGATGTGTGTAATGGCTCTTTGCTGCATTTAAATATAGGCTTGCTTCAGCTAAGAATGAAAAAGTCGTGTATCGATTCTGGAGTGTTTCCATGTGTTTGTCATAGCAATGAAAGCTTGACTTTGTATCCAATACTTGTTACTGGGGAGAGCGACACAATGTAGTTCAGTTAAACACAGACCTATAAGAAAATGAAGCATTTCTATCAGGATTTATTGTGTGTGAGAGAATAAGGTTTGATAGTGAAGTAGACGCACTAAGATGTATAGCGTGAGAGGAACGCAAACATTGGTAGTGTGTGAACCTCTTGCACTAAGCTAGCTCTAGTTGAGACGGATCAATTAAAAATATCTCAACTTATACACTTGTTCATCCTCTAACTTTCTTCTTTACATCCTGAAGCAAAACTTTCTGACTCAAATATTTAAACTGTGGTTAGTTGATTATTTATCACACTTACAGATATGTTTAGTGTTGCACATACAGCTGATTTGATAGTGACTGCCTGATAGTTAATGTTTAGTTTAATTAACGGTCATTTTTCATCTGTTCATTTTGAATATTAGAAATAGAGGTGACATAAATGTTACTTAGGAAAAGCGATTTGTTTTAGCCTTAAGATTTTCTAGAAAATTTATGAATGGTTAATAAATCTGAAACTGCATTTTATTCTTGCACATAAACTGATAAATTGATTAAAGAAGAAGTCTTCTATTAACAGTAGTATAAGTATTTTGAGTGAGTCCAATGTCAAGGCAATACATACATCTTAAGTGAATTGTAGCTGTGAGTTTTAATGAATTCCAACAGACACTCACTGACAAGACCAAGCACTACAAGTCCCGACTGGAGCGGGAGGAGAGTACCAAGAGACAGCACATGAAGATCCTATGTAAAACCCAGGAGACACAGCTTCAGGAGAAGGAGAACCTCATCAGTAACCTACAGGGACTACTGGAGGAGAATGAGGCCCGGGTACAGCAGCTGGAGCAAGGTAGAAAGACAAAACGGTCCATGTCACAAAAATACTCTGATAAATGTAGGAAAACCATGGTGAAAGTCAATTGATATCACCATAGTAACATGTATCCATGTATAAATGTAATGGAAATCGTGGTGACAAATCATATGTTACATGTACTATAAAAATAGTATACATATTTATTTATGTAAATGAACCAGTTAAAAATAAGGTCACTGTTTAATTTGTAGGTCCAGTGAAATGCCGACCCTTGGGTGACAACAACAACATCCCCCACACTGGTGGAAGGACCACTATGAGGCTAATTGAGGAGGTGAAGCGACTTCAGGGGGAGAAAGTGGATCTCACCCGTCGCTTGGAGGAACAGATACAGCTCTTTACAGTTCCAAATCCTGAGGGCAAGGAAGTGGGGCAGGAGCCCCAGGGGCCGGGTGGAGAACATGGTCTGGGGCTGGATAAAACTGTAACCGACCTACAGAAAGAGAACCATGACCTCCGAGACACCATAGATAGGCTCCATAAAAGTGGCCAGGTATGTGTAGCAGGGTCACCATGTCTCTGTTATAAATCTGACTGACTATATGTCCCACTAACTGCTTCAATTACTGTGTAGCAATGACTTTTTATAATGACTGTCTCATTGACTGTTTCCCACTGTCTATGTTATCTCACTGACTCTGCTATGTCTCATTGACTGTTTCCCACTGTCTGTATCTCACTGACAGCTTCTCACTGACTCTGCTATGTCTCATTGCCTGTTTCCCCCTGTCTGTATCTCACTGACAGCTTCTCACTGACTCTATGTCTCATTGACTGTTTTCCGACTGTCTGTATCTCACTGACAGCTTCTCACTGACTCTGCTATGTCTCATTGCCTGTTTCCCACTGTCTGTATCTCACTGACAGCTTCTCATTGACTCTGCTATATATCATTGACTGTTTTTCCACTGTCTGTATCTCACTGACAGCTTCTCACTGACTCTGCTATGTCTCATTGACTGTTTCCCACTGTCTGTATCTCACTGACAGCTTCTCACTGACTCTGCTATGTCTCATTGACTGTTTTCCCACTGTCTGTATCTCACTGACAGCTTCTCACTGACTCTGCTATGTCTCATTGACTGTTTCCCACTGTCTGTATCTCACTGACAGCTTCTCACTGACTCTGCTATGTCTCATTGACTGTTTTCCCACTGTCTGTATCTCACTGACAGCTTCTCACTGACTCTGCTATGTCTCATTGACTGTTTCCCACTGTCTGTATCTCACTGACAGCTTCTCACTGACTCTGCTATGTCTCATTGACTGTTTTCCCACTGTCTGTATCTCACTGACAGCTTCTCACTGACTCTGCTATGTCTCATTGACTGTTTCCCACTGTCTGTATCTCACTGACAGCTTCTCACTGACTCTGCTATGTCTCATTGACTGTTTTCCCACTGTCTGTATCTCACTGACAGCTTCTCACTGACTCTGCTATGTCTCATTGACTGTTTCCCACTGTCTGTATCTCACTGACAGCTTCTCACTGACTCTGCTATGTCTCATTGACTGTTTTCCCACTGTCTGTATCTCACTGACAGCTTCTCACTGACTCTGCTATGTCTCATTGACTGTTTCCCACTGTCTGTATCTCACTGACAGCTTCTCACTGACTCTGCTATGTCTCATTGACTGTTTTCCCACTGTCTGTATCTCACTGACAGCTTCTCACTGACTCTGCTATGTCTCATTGACTGTTTCCCACTGTCTGTATCTCACTGACAGCTTCTCACTGACTCTGCTATGTCTCATTGACTGTTTTCCCACTGTCTGTATCTCACTGACAGCTTCTCACTGACTCTGCTATGTCTCATTGACTGTTTCCCACTGTCTGTATCTCACTGACAGCTTCTCACTGACTCTGCTATGTCTCATTGACTGTTTTCCCACTGTCTGTATCTCACTGACAGCTTCTCACTGACTCTGCTATGTCTCATTGACTGTTTCCCACTGTCTGTATCTCACTGACAGCTTCTCACTGACTCTGCTATGTCTCATTGACTGTTTTCCCACTGTCTGTATCTCACTGACAGCTTCTCACTGACTCTGCTATGTCTCATTGACTGTTTCCCACTGTCTGTATCTCACTGACAGCTTCTCACTGACTCTGCTATGTCTCATTGACTGTTTTCCCACTGTCTGTATCTCACTGACAGCTTCTCACTGACTCTGCTATGTCTCATTGACTGTTTCCCACTGTCTGTATCTCACTGACAGCTTCTCACTGACTCTGCTATGTCTCATTGACTGTTTTCCCACTGTCTGTATCTCACTGACAGCTTCTCACTGACTCTGCTATGTCTCATTGACTGTTTCCCACTGTCTGTATCTCACTGACAGCTTCTCACTGACTCTGCTATGTCTCATTGACTGTTTTCCCACTGTCTGTATCTCACTGACAGCTTCTCACTGACTCTGCTATGTCTCATTGACTTTTTCCCACTGTCTGTATCTCACTGACAGCTTCTCACTGACTCTGCTATGTCTCATTGACTGTTTTCCCACTGTCTGTATCTCACTGACAGCTTCTCACTGACTCTGCTATGTCTCATTGCTGTTTCAATGACTATCAGTAGCTATCAATAACTATCTCAATAACTCTGTCCCAGAGCCAGTGCCTTAATGATTGCCTAAAAGACTGTTTCCCTGTCTCTGTCTCAATGTCTATGATTTGCTGTCTCCTCTAAGTTGTGACAATGTATGCCACTGACCATGTTTCCCTGTCTCTGTCTCAATGTCTATGATTTGCTGTCTCCTCTAGTTTGTGACAATGTATGCCACTGACCATGTTTCATTGTCCTTTACAGTCATCAGACACTGGACCCTGCACAACAGACACAGAGAAACAGGTGGATAAACTGCAGGGAGAGAATGACCGCCTCCAGGAGGAAATGACTGACCTAAAGCAAGTCTACAGCCAGTCCACAGACATGGTCAAACAGGGAGCCAAGCAATACCAGGTAAGCTGTAGATCTATGTATCAATATCTTTTAAGTCACTTATTTATTGATACATTTATATGTCTATTGATTAAATAAAATCTGAAGGTATTGGTACCATTTAGCCTAGACTGTTTTAAATTATCCAGCAATATTGTATTAAGTATCAGGAAATCATATGTAGTCATCAGCAGTTGTCGCCACGCAATGGTTCTTCATTTAGAACAATATGTTTAGACTGATGACGCTTTAGTTCTTGGTCGGCAGAGGTAGATACTTAAAATGTTCAGTTCAACTTTTGTCATAGAAGTATTTCTAACCTTGCCCCCCCCCCCCAACACACTCATAAAAATATTTTTTGGGTAAATCATATATACCTTTATCTTTTGGATTATTCTGTTAAATGTCAAGGTCATTTAAGTTCAAATTCTACACTGTTTAAGTAGCATAGTAATGAGAGTATACATTTTATGGCAGCAACTTGATGAAGAGGTATCCAAATTGAGACAAAAGATCACCACACTGGAGAACCAGCTCACGAGGAAATCTGAGGAACTCGCCACACTACAAAACAAACACCGTCAAGAGCAGACAACTCTCAGAAGTGAAAGTCAGGCCACGGCACGTAAAATGAGGGAGCTGCAAGCTGAGCTGACAGCATTACATGCAAAGGAGCCAGAGGTTTGTATCTTCATACTCATAACCGTGTAGGACATTACACATAAAGCATCTATACATCCACAGAACCAGATATTCTTCCTGTTATTAGTCCCCCATTGAGGCCAATGGAGCGACTAGGTCTGCACCATGTCAGAAAGTCTCACTTTGTCTAGGGTGTATTGTATTTGCTCTGTCAATGATAATTGTCAAATTTTGAAGTGGAAACCTCTTTGGGTGGTGGAGTGTCTTATATTGATATTTTGGTCTTGTTTCCCACTTCGTAAATAGTTATGGCCCTTTTTCAATTTTGTTACAAAAGTATGTTCAGAGCTTCTCTTTATGTGACCTTAATACAAAATTCTCTTTAAATTAACAAAAGATTGTTGCTTTAGATTTCATAAAACAGTTTAATTAGCAAACTCATATTGAAATACAGATATATTATATATGGTATATATTGATATAGTATAACTTTTTTCCCTTGAACCAAAGGTGATCACCAAGATAAAGCGTGTGGAGGTACAGACAGAGTCGGAGGACCTGAAGAGAAACTACTCTAGGTGTCAGGAAGAAAAGGCACTGCTACAGACAGAGGTAGAGGGACTACAACTAGAAGTCACAGAAGTCAGGGGCCAGCTGCAGGAAGCCTGCAGGCAATGTCAAGAGAAGATGCATGAGGTAATAATAATTTTGTTTTATCATATATTCAGACCTGGGAATATTTTTATTTTTCTGTTATACAATATTTTTGTGTACAAGATAGCAGAATTGTAGTTGATGTTTCTAATTATTTGTATCACGTAGCCCTGAGATCATTCCAAATTAATCTTGGCATCAATTTCTGGTTATTTTACATACTGGTGAAACGGAAAGGACTATAGGATTTCTCCATGTTGACCTGTCCCATTTACTTGCCTTGACCACAGGGGCACGCAACTAGTTATTAAAGGCTTTCAGTCGCTGGGTACGTTATAACCTAATATTTAGGTTATAATGTACCCAGCGACTGAAAGCCTAAAACAAGTCAATATTAATAATAGTTGCGTGCCCCTGTGCCTTGACCTTACTTCAAAACATAAATTGTTACACCAGTGCCATTTGATGGAAGGGGGGCAGGGCAGGTTATATAGTGTAGCGCATATTTCTTTTTAGTGTCATTCTCTAGCAACTGCATTTCTTTATGGATTGTCTGAACATATAACAGCATTTTCATAGAGAATTAAAAAAAAATGCAAATATACTGCAAATATTAACGATGTGTTTATGGTTGGTTAGATGACCAGATTGGAACAGGAAACTGAGACAGTCACACGGGAGCTGATGGATGAGATAGACAGTGTGAGGAAGGAAAAGGAAGAAGCTGTTCGGTCAGTCAGACATGACCTGGAGCTTGAGCTAGCTACATTGCGTATGAAGTACCAGGATGTGTGTCTGCGTGTGGAGCAGCTCAAGCCAATTATGGTCCAACTAGTGCGCGAGTATGTTCTACTACAAAAACAGGCCAAGAAATTTCCAACAGTCATAAAGGAAACCGTGTCTCAGGTCAAAAAAGAGGTAAGTTCCAGATCAAAGAGCAAGTAGGTCAACTGTGTCTGAGGTCAAACAGGTATGAGGTCAGTTGTGTCTGAAGTAAAAAGGAGATATTCTCTGGCCAACTGTGTCTAAACTTTAAAAAAAAGTATATGTTGGTTCCTGGTCAGTTGTGTCTGAGGTCAAACGATTAATGTCCCAGGTCAAGTGTGCTCAGATCAAAAATCTTAAAATAGATTGCACTCCGTTGAAGCTGGTGTCAAAGAGAAGAAAGTCATGTACATTGATCAAACTTTGATACTGTTAATACCATTAAAACTGAATTTCAAATCACATTGTAATATCCTTTAGATCATTTGGGGTTTTTTCTGAAAGTTTCTACTAAAGAAGAGGAAATAGATATGTCGAAATAAAGTACAATTTCATTTCTTGTGTCATAGTTGAAAATGTATTTACTTGTGACCTCCAGACAACCAGAGCCATCCGAGGCATCAACGACTATAACCAGGAGTTGATCAAGAAATACCACAGGGAGATGGCTCTCAGGAAGAAGTTCCACAACGAACTTGTGGAACTAAAAGGTAGTTTTACACGTGTCTACAAAGTCAAAATACTCAGTTAAAAATATCTAATGTAAACAGTAGATACGTGTTTCTTGTATCGCTTGTTTACTTTTCTGCTTGTTGATTCACAGATAACAAATCAATGATATTTTTGATCACTAAAATCTAAATGACTAAATAATGCTGACAGCGCAAAACAATATGACAGTTTTCTCAGAGATTTACAATTTCATATTTAAAGTGCTAGCCTGCAGGCAGACTCCTACTCTTGATTTAAAAATATGTTAAGATTATAAGAAGCATGATAGAAATTTCTTCCTAATTGTTTGCAGAGCAATGTACACCTGTCAATTGTTGGTTGTGTACAGTAGCAACCAAAGGAACAGTTACTCTGTAATACACTGGCTAAGTCATTCTGTTTGTAAGTTGATATCCCGGCGAGGTCTATTATACAGGTACGAATGCTACATCGAATGCTAAATAATATGATATAGTTGCATTCAAATGACAACATTACAGGATTACTTAAATATTTCTATACATTGCAGGAAACATTCGTGTGTTTTGTCGTGTACGACCAAAGATCTCTGAAGATGGTCATGGGACCATGTCCCAGTCGGTGGTAACTTATGACCAGGATGACGATGGACTTATCCATGTCAACAACAAGGGCCGCAGTCAGACGTTTGAGGTTGATAGGGTGTTCACAGAAACCAGTACACAGATACAGGTAAATAGGGAGGGTGTTCACAGAAACCAGTACAGACACAGGTAAATAGGGAGGGTGTTCACAGAAACCAGTACACAGATACAGGTAAATAGGGAGGGGAGGGTGTTCACAGAAACCAGTACACAGACACAGGTAAATAGGGAGGGTGTTCACAGAAACCAGTACACAACAGACACAGGTAAATAGGGAGGGGGTGTCCAATTGTTTGCTGATTTCACTGTAAACTTTTCTTCATTTGAAATTCTGAAGAATAGCATCTCCCATTTTCAACTTGTGGTTACAGTATTAGGGACACAATTTGAACAAGATATAAAAGAAATATATTAATGGTGTATATAGTGGTATACAATGCACCTGTGTAAGGAAGTTATTGTATTTATTACAGGTGTTTAACGAAGTGCAGTCTTTAGTAACGTCGTGTATAGATGGGTACAATGTATGTATCTTTGCCTACGGACAGACAGGCTCTGGGAAGACTTATACCATGGAGGTATGTAACAATGCTCAAATGTGTTGAACAAATATTCATTAAAAAGTCATTAAGATGACAAATCCAATACTCTCTACAGTACAGTTCCAGGTTTTCCATATTAAGATATGATATAATTGATAAAAGGTATATCAAGTCTTCATAACTCTGTAAGTATATATGGTTGTTGAGTGGTCGAGTGGCATAGTTGACAGTGCACTCGCCTTGCAGCAAGACAGCCAGGGTTGGATTACCCAATCAGACAGGAAAAGGTCACCTGCCCGACCACTTGGGTTTTCTCAGGATACTTCGATTTCCTGTCACATTAAGACCCTCTATTTGCTTACATCTGGGCAAAAAAGATTGATATAAATATAAGTCGAAAAGATTACTTTCATAATTGTTGTAATATAAAATTTATAATTTATGCATGGTTGTCATGGTAATATGTTTAATGTTGTCAATAGGGTCCACCTGACGATGCTGGCATCAACCAGAGGGCACTCAGAGAGCTGTTCAGGGAGACCTCCAGTCGTGGATGTGATTGGACCTACAAAATCACTGTCACCGTCCTAGAAATCTATAATGAGGTTATAAGGTCCGTGTCAAAGGCTATTAAATGGATCATTATGAAAATTTAAAGCCATTTTCCTGATTAATTGAGTCAATGGTCTTATGCAATAACTTTTTATATAGCTATAGATAGAAATATAAATTGTTGATGAAGGACCAGATACTTTTGATAGCCTTTTGATGTATTTGTCTTGAAATTATGAATAGTTATAAATATTAAGGGTTCCCTTCTCATGTATATATGATCAGTTTGATGTTAACACGAGCCTTTCTGAAAGTTAGTCACCAGCATGTGATAATGTTGATCTTATATAGGAAAATAAAACATACCTTTCAAATATTGTGGATTCCCTGCTTTTGATTTTCTTCCTTTTGATATGAGCACAGCATCAACATTGATAATGATGGCCATGCTACAGTTTGTGAGATTCTGTAACAATTGATAAATGGGAGTTTTATGTTGACAGAGATTTGTTGGTTACTGGTGATGACACATATACCAAACTTGATATTAAGATGAACACAGACGGTCAGCTACATGTGCCAGGCCTGTGTGTTAAGGAAGTACAGTCAGTGGAGGATGTCAACAGGGTGTGTATACCGCCCCTAACCATCACATTTCTGGAGCAAACACATGTTACCAACTTGTCTGATCTAAGAAGTCGTACCTGTCTTATGCTCTTTGAAGAAAGGTCATATAAAAGAGCGAGAGCCTTAATACAGATTCCAAATGGCTTCATGCATTCTGAAAATTGAACAAACTTTCCCTAAACTTTCTATCTTGAAATTGGTTTGAACTTATCAGCTGTGCAACAAGCAAGAATAGTTGTATTAATTTGTTCTTTGAGTAGTTTGAAACTCTCATGACAAAAGGTTGTCAGAAATTTGCTTTAAATCACAGTACAGAAATTCTAGATTGTTAGTCCTATGAGACAGGAGGTCGCTGAAAACAGATCATAAACATAGGAAATTCATTTACAGAAAGTATTAAGGATGCAAAAAAAGGTCATGATTACAGGTGAGTGCTAAGACAGGATGATTGTACACTGACAATAACACGCTAAATTATTGCCCCTGAGATGATTGGTTTTTAGCAGTACATGTACTACAGATTATTCAATACTGGGATCTCATTTGAATATCAAAAGTGCATAAAATACTTATCAGCTCTACAATTTAGTTTCATGACTTATTGTAGGTATTTGCAACAGGCCAAAAGAACAGAGCAACAGCAACTACCAACATGAATGAGCATTCGTCTAGATCACATGCACTCCTGTGTGTGACAGTTGCTGGTGTCAACAAGACAACTAATGTTCAGAGTACAGGTAAAGACATCCTAGGCTACAGGACTGGAGAGATGTCAGTTAAAGTTTACAGGACTGGGGTGATATCAGATGAAGTTTACAGGACTGGGGTGATATCAGATAAAGTTTACAGGACCGGGGTGATATCAGATAAAGTTTACAGGACTGGGGTGATATCAGATAAAGTTAACAGGACTGGGGTGATATCAGATAAAGTTTACAGGAATGGGGTGATGTCAGTTAAAGTTTACAGGACTGGGGTGATATCAGATAAAGTTTACAGGACTGGGGTGATATCAGATAAATTTTACTGGAATGGGGTGATGTCAGTTAAAGTTTACAGGACTGGGGTGATATCAGATAAAGTTTACAGGACGAGGGTGATATCAGATATAGCTTATTACATTAATAACAAGATACAAACTTAAATAATTTTACAAGTACCAGGTAGTTGATTTAGATTCGATTTTTCAATGCAAATACTTTGTTGTTGAAAACTGTCTGTAAAACAAATAACACAGTAATCTTTATATGAAGTTATTTTTCTGAGAAAATGAAAGTGCTGTTAGTAAAAATGATTTTGCATTCACCACAACATTTTTATGACTTGAAAAGAAAATGGCATTGTCGTAAAACAACTCTACATCTGTTTGTAGGAAAGCTGAACCTGGTGGACCTGGCAGGGTCAGAACGAGTGAGTAAGTCTGGTGCAGACGGGACGAGACTGAAGGAGGCCCAGAGTATCAACAAATCTCTGTCCTCCCTAGGGGATGTGATTCACGCCCTGCGAAGTAGACAGAGTCATGTGCCTTACCGCAACTCTCGGCTCACTTATCTACTGCAGGACTCCCTAGGTAGGCACCACAACCTTTCACAGTGTTAAATAGATAGAGTTGATGGTGGCAGACTCATTGCAATTACATTTGGTTTTAAGCAAGAGGGTGATTTCAACTTTGGGTCTGCATGTTTTTATCTTCCCAATAGATAATTTCATGGGCAGGTTATTTTTATATGACATCATTTTTTACGCATCAAATTAATTAAATCTGTGCAAAAAAATCTTCCAAAATAAGTTTGTTCCCTGTGGAAATTGTTTACAAGATAATTAGGTTTGGGAAGATAAAAACAAACCTTAAGTATTGGGTAAATTGTTAAATCAAGCGAAAAAAGGATTTGCTTGAAGATAATCATCTTAATAATAATTTATGCATGTACAAGATGTTAAAATTCAACATTTGTGGGAAAAATGGAAACATTGACTTTTAAAATAGGATATAAATGAGCGATGGATGCTGTCAGCATTGGGCTTGAGGAATATCCTGATCTATAGTTGAAATCTGTAAGAAAGATAGTAAAAAAAAGTGTAAAAGCTCCTTCAATACCAGTCCGCCTTAATAAATAACCTTTGACCCTGTACAGGTGGAGACAGTAAGACACTCATGATCGTCCAGGTGGCACCAGTGGAAAAGAATCAAAGTGAGACTGTATGTAGTCTCAACTTTGCCCAACGAGTCCGAACTGTTGAACTTGGCCAAGCCAGTCGACGCTTGGAGAACGGAGACACAGAGGTAATTATTTTCCCATGTTTGTGGTAGCACTAGTAAGCATGGCTTCTTTGAAAGCCGTACACTATTCATTTTCATTTGCTCTTTTATTTTCTCCCCGATTTTGATAAAAAAAATATCTAGGTTTTCACTTTTATGTCACACAGATTTAGGTTTTAATTAAACTGATTCTCAGTTTTCTATTTAAATATTATTTTCTTTATAATTTGCTTCAAGGAGTTTCTTGCGGATTTCACTATAATTTACTTTCAAGGAGATTTTTGCGGCTTTTGAAACTTTGGTTTTGGATAATACATCGCATGCTGGTTTAGATGTAGGCATACAAATGTAGCTGACACACATTGAAATATATCATCTGGTTTAGAAGAAAAAGAAAGTGAATAGAGACCGGAATTGAAATATTTTCTGTGAAAGATAGGTTATTTTGCAGTGTGAGGCAGTCTTATTTCACAAATGTAACAACATCATTCTGGGTTTTATTTTTTGTAATAGAAACATAAGAAAATAATTCCATGAAGCTCATTGTTCATCCAATAGTGAATTATTGCCATAAGTCAGTAGGAATCCATCCCAAAGATTAATTTAGTCTGTCTTATAAACAATTTGTGTCAATATCTTCGGCATTAATTTTGCACTCAGTATACCACTAAGCTTAGTATTAGATGGCTGTGATATTTGTCCTCTCTCTTTCTTTACCTGTTCCTCAATGCATTTTTTCACTCTTTGTCTTTTTATTCTTTTCACGATTCCATTTGTGTGTTGCTCTTTGGCTGTGAAGCAGTGTTCATAGACCTTAGAATACTAGTTATATTATAATGATATGTAATTAACATCTTTGTTTATTTTAACATTTTAGTTGATGCAGACAATTTCTCAGTGAAATTAATTCTACATTATTTTGTTATATGGTAACTTTATGAAATGGCACTAACAAGTTTACACTTCGTTAAAACTTAAAAAGCTCAATGCTACTCTCTACATATTATATAAAAGCAGAGATCTGTAGATTTGACTGAGGATCTGAGGGAGTTATTGTATGAATACAATGCCATTCCATTCAACCTTTATTTTATATTAAATTCCTGGTTAGAATTATAATTATCATTACTACTTCTTAATTGTCATTTTTTTCCAGGGAACAAAAAAAACTCTGAAATCATGATTTTGTGAGAGGCCTGGTCCGAGAGTAAGAATCAAGCATTGCTGGATGCCATTTTGATATTGTACTTATGTTGTAGTGTAGTGCTGTTTTCCTTTGCGTTTTGGTGCCATACATGGCTCAATAGTGTGGTTTAACATGTTTATGCCACCTCCTGCATGCACATGCTTGTTTAGCTAGCTACGCAGATAAAGGATGGAAATCGCATCACAGGATATCCTCATAAGTCTCAAATATCCCGGTAAAAATTCAAAACAATATATTGGAATTTTAGTGTTTGAATAAATCCCATACAAACAAAAGTAATGTGGGGAAAAAACAGAACAAATTTAAATCCATAAAATACTTGTTTGAATACAATACTACAAGGAAAGAGAAGTTACAATTTCTCCAAGGTTAGAAATATTGAGCATGCTCCTTCCTTGATCTGCCTTGATCTATATTTATTTCATTTTTTTTTTTCATGGAAATTACTTTTCTTGTATGTCAATTCAAATTATGTTCCACCAGCACACAAGCTGTTGAGACGAGCATGCAGTCATAGTTGTAGAAAATGAGGAATAATTTATTTCAGAGTTACTTTTACCCTGTATAATATCCCTGTTGTAACCAGCATTCCATGCATTTCCTGAAACCTTGTTCCGATTCTTACATTTCGTCTTCTTTTCAATTATAACCTCATTTAATGTTGATACCCAGGTACTTGTTTTCTTTTACGAAACGCTAGTCAGTGGATAATAATAGCCTGTTTATGCAGTTGTTATTTGGAATATACTTTTGTACATCTTTGTAGCTATTATCAAACCTTATAATATTAATAATGCTGGGCATAGTGAGTGCTTCACCTCAATACAGAGTGCAATGTGATCATACCCTGACTTGTAGTATGTGATTGCTATACCTTGGTACACAGTACAATGTGATCCTACCCTGACTTGCAGTATGTGCTTGCTATACCTTGGTACACAGTACAATGTGATCCTTCCCTGACTTGTAGTATGGGATTGCTATACCTTGGTACACAGTACAATCTGATCCTACCCTGACTTGTAGTATGGGATTGCTATACCTTGGTACACAGTACAATCTGATCCTACCCTGACTTGTAGTATGGGATTGCTATACCTTCGTACACAGTACAATGTGATCCTACCCTGACTTGCAGTATGTGCTTGCTATACCTTGGTACACAGTACAATGTGATCCTGCCCTGACTTGTAGTATGGGATTGCTATACCTTGGTACACAGTACAATCTGATCCTACCCTGACTTGTAGTATGGGATTGCTATACTTGGTACACAGTGCAATGTGATCCTACCCTGACTTGTAGTATGTGCTTCCTATCCCTTGGTACACAGTACAATGTGATCCTACCCTGCCTGGTAGTATGTGATTGCTATTCCTTGGTACACAGTACAATGTGATCCTACCCTGACTTATAGTATGTGATTGCTATACCTTGGTACACAGTACAATGTGATCCTGCCCTGACTTGTAGTATGGGATTGCTATACCTTGGTACACAGTACAATCTGATCCTACCCTGACTTGTAGTATGGGATTGCTATACCTTGGAACACAGTACAATGTGATCCTACCCTGACTTGTAGTATGGGATTGCTATATCTTGGTACACAGTACAATGTGATCCTACCCTGACTTGCAGTATGTGCTTGCTATACCTTGGTACACAGTACAATGTGATCCTCCCCTGACTTGTAGTATGGGATTGCTATACCTTGGTACACAGTACAATCTGATCCTACCCTGACTTGTAGTATGGGATTGCTATACCTTGGTACACAGTACAATCTGATCCTACCCTGACTTGTAGTATGGGATTGCTATATCTTGGTACACAGTACAATGTGATCCTACCCTGACTTGCAGTATGTGCTTGCTATACCTTGGTACACAGTACAATGTGATCCTCCCCTGACTTGTAGTATGGGATTGCTATACCTTGGTACACAGTACAATCTGATCCTACCCTGACTTGTAGTATGGGATTGCTATATCTTGGTACACAGTACAATGTGATCCTACCCTGACTTATAGTATGTGATTGCTATACCTTGGTACACAGTACAATGTGATCCTGCCCTGACTTGTAGTATGGGATTGCTATACCTTGGTACACAGTACTATGTGATCCTTCCCTGACTTGTAGTATGGGATTGCTATACCTTGGTACACAGTACAATGTGATCCTTCCCTGACTTGTAGTATGGGATTGCTATACCTTGGTACACAGTGTGACTAGTGGTAGATATGTTGAAATAGTTTAGAGCATGATTGTTAATAGTTTTCACAACTTCAGTGTTTTAGTATGTCTCCATCTCCTTAGAACAATCAATAATATTCAATTATAGCCTTTGGCAGAGGTTGATACCTTGATTTATCTAGCCGAGAAAAGATATATTGACAGAGGACGCAGTCTGAGGTCAATATATCTTTTCTCGGCTAGATAAATCCACGGAAGCGGGACGATGCGTTCGTTTGGAGACACATCATAATTCTGTTTTTAGAAACACCCAGTCCTTAAACAAAAATCATGCGCTCCAAGTCAATATCAATTTTTATCGGTAGACACGTGATTCACTTTTGACTAATCACTTGGAATAATATGAAAAAATAACAATATGTTAATGTAGTTAGAATAATACTTAAATGTTAAGTGATCCCACTGGATACTAACAAGATATGAAAATTTCATCATTATATCTCAGATGTTAGATATTCTTACTCTTGTTATGTATGTAATAGGATATAATCTGAACACCTTCCAATTTATGTCAAGTAAATTAGTTCAGTATCTAATGATTTCTACATAAAAATATGACTCCTGTGTCTGTATCATAAGAATGTCAGTGACGACTGTGCTATCCCTTGTGTTGACCCTTCCAATATTACAAGAAACATCACAGGTATAGTCATAGTAAAAAATCCAGATAACTAGATACATTATTAATATCAGTAGAATATTGCTATATGTACAACACCCCTTCACTCTGGTTTTGTTATTGACTCAGCTGTGTCTAGTTTGTCCACCTTGATTGTTTCTACTTTCACAGTATTTATATCACATGACTTTTTGTGCTAGATGTTGTGTTATCTTGTTAGTCATGTTTCCATCTTATTTAATCATTTTCTATACAGAAATAAAATACATCTATGGTGACACAATAGAAACAGAATAGAATTCTGGACTATCCCCCAGATATAATGTGGGTAGTAAACTGTGAACAGGACTTTTCCCTGATGTGTCCATCTATATTCCTGATTAAAGGGAGGTAAAACAATGCTATATACCTGAATGTAGTGTATGCCTTTGTGAACATATAATTAATTTTCCATAGAAATCTAACATGCATGCTGTTAGTCAATGTATACGTTTTATTGTTGTGAAAGTAAATGTATCCCTGTAGTGTGAATTATATGAATTAGTTTTTGATCCAGAAAACCATATATCATTTTCTGAAGATAACTGCTCTCTTACTAAACAAGAACTAATCCAGATGTTGGGTGATCACATCATATCCTGTAAAATTAACCAAATATGCCACAAGAAATAACCATTACAGGTATTCTTTCTGTAGTAAAAGTTAGATGCACAAGCCCAACACGCCCCAGCAAAACACATTTTCACAGTGATCTATACAATTTGTTTACTTTCCCTGATATTTACTTTGGTTTATTTGTCTACTTGCAGGGAGACTATGCTCATAGTCCCATGATGAAGTCCTCGACCCCTTCCAGGAATGGAGGCACCCCTTCACGCTCTGCCCACCTGACACCGTCCCGCTCTGGAGTGTCGACCCCACCCAGGTCTGGCACTACCCCTCTTATGTCCTTTAACCGTTCCACTCCTTTGGGATCTGCCTCGAGGCCAAAGATAGCAAAGGTTGCTAGCAAACTCAACCTTTAACAGAAGAAATCTATAGTGAACTTGCTGAACTGCTACAGTATTTCAGTGTAAAACCCTTTAAGATACAGTTATCAAGGAATGGACTCTCAAATATAGGTGGATTCATTGCTTGCTGCAGTAATCATGAACTTGATATTTCAGACTTGAGGAAAAAACATCAGACAATTGACTTTTTGGTAAAGAAGAATAATACAGTGGATGTTTTGTTGGAAATGTTCATTGATATACAGAGATTGTGATATAATCGTTACGATAATCATGTGATAAGGTCGTCTTATTGACCTAATGTGATATCTTTGAAACTCATGTGATTTGTATTTCTGTAGAGTGACTGCTGCTGAAGTATAGTTTGCTGGTCCTGTAGAGAATATGTTTTGTGTATACGGGTTAAATGTCTCTACTTCACTTAATAGCCATCGCATGGTCTGTTGAAATTCTGATGGAGCTACTTTCTTGATTACAAGATGAATATTCAACAGAATTTTACAAATTAAACTATCTTCTGAATGTACTTTAATTCTAACGTAATTGAAACCATTTTTTTCTGTTCCTTCTTCCTTTCCTTTTCTTTTATTAATGTTTACATATTACCATAAACATACAATTCTCAGTTTTTACAAATACACTTAGAAACTTCCTCGTGTGGAGACACTAATATCCTTTTGATTTTCTTTTATAAAAGCTTTTTTAAAGTATGTGGTAACCTGGCTTTTTCTGATTTTTTTCCCCCATGACATCTACATGTACTAGTAAAGTATCTGTACTGTTTCCCAGATTATCTTCGTTTGTATTGATCTGGTTCCACACTAAGTATGATCTCATGGAGTAATTTTGTGTTCAAGTTAAATTTATCAGAAAATAGTGATACATTTCCTTTATTTTGATTTTGCCAGATCTTATATTTGTTTTTCAAATTTTGAAGTAATCATACAGATTTCTACAACTCTCTTATGTCAAATAATCAGAAAAATGGATCAAGATACCTGAAATAATATGTTAGTACCCTGTCAGATTAGTAATAAATGTATAGAGATTGTGATATAATCACAATATAAATGTACATATATTGATGGGTCAAAATATTATCTTTACTATACAGACAAATTTGTAGGTAACTTTAAAGAATTAAAATCACTACAGAGGTGTGATTTGAATGCATAAAGTGTGGAACATTTTCACATTAAATTGCTGAGTGTATTCTGCATCAGACCTTTTTCAAATCAAAGGTTCAAGAAAACTGCAAATTTTCCGGTATGTTTTTAGGTTTAAGATAACAATAGCCTAGATGAATGGAATCTGGATCATTATAAAACTTGTAAGACATTCTAGGTTAAAGGGAGGTAATCCAGCAGTAACTGTAACAGTTACAAGGGCCCAGTTGTTCAAAGCAGGCCATGGCAATTACAAAACATTTTGATCTAGCATATTTTCAAAAGGTTTGAAATTTAAAACCAAAATTACAGGTATTATTTGTATTCAAAATGATCATCTGAAGAAAGAAACACAAAAATAAATTTATTTTTCAGATATTTCTCAGAAATTGCATTATTAAAAAATTTCACTGACCACTTATAATCAGGCTTTGGACAAAAGGACCCAGAAAGTTACTGTCATCCATTATTGAGGGAATCTACGTTTCCTGTTAATTTCTGATCATGTACTATTGGTAAGGATTCCAGCACAGCCAGGTTTTATATCTCAGAGAAGCCATTCCACAAGTTTTCATGTGTGATGTAGAGTATTACAGTGGTCTCAAGTGAAACTATCACAACTTTTGAATGGATTGAATATTTTTTGGCAAAAGTTACTGTGATTGAAATGTCTGTGGAATGGACCAAATCATACCCTTGTCTTTGTTGTAATGCCTTGACTTTGCTGCTGTTACTGGAATGCCCAATGTGTCAAATATATACTCATCATATTGTGATCTGATTGTTGCAAGAAGATATAGCCACTCTCATGCTATTTGATAATGTATTTCTCATATCAGTACTCAATAGAACCACGTCATTCCATTACTGGCATTAGCTTTGATATATTTTATGCCGTATCAAAATTGCTCAGAAAACATCAATATTGATTTAAAACAGATTCAAGATACACTCGGACCTTGTGATGAAAGGTCCTGAGAAGTTCTTGAGTGAATCATGTTTTCCATATTCATGATAACTGCTGATTGGACAAAAGTACACCTGCAAATAACCAGTGTATTCAAAATAACCTAGACATCAAGCACACAGCTGTACACATAGCAGCAAGACATGTAACAGGAATTTTGAAGATGAAGAAAACAAATATAATCGTCCTTTGATCTGTTTATATCATTAAATACTCCTTTCGCAGATGTATTTCTCTTATGATGTGTGCAAATATTTGTGTACTGTGTTCAGAATTAATTACTTGTATGTTTTTTATTTTCTTGTTTATCAATAATCAACACTAGATTTCAGTCAGTGTGATTTTTTTCATGGTTCATTTGACAGTTACCTGACCGAGAACGAACCGAAACGTTGATTGTTCAATTTTGTGAATGATTCATGATGTATAATACATAATACCAGAGGATGATCTAGTCTATTTTTGCATAAAGCATGTGTGGAGATGTTGAGAGTGTTTGGTATAATACAAAGAGATATGATTTTGCATGAAGAATAGGGAAAGTAAAAAAAAGTTGAAGAATCATGAGTTGCTGTATATATGAGGAATCAAGAATGCCATACCAAAGATGAAAAGCGTTCATCTTTTATCACAATACATCTGGTGCTATCATAATTTCCATGTTTTGTGTTTTCAGTAAGTTCACTAAGTTTAAGACCAGGACACACACATTAAACTGTATGCTTGTATCAGACCATGTGTTGGTCAGCATTGTCATGAGGTTTTATCACATTCTGTATTCGGTCTTATTTAGCTGGTCAAACAAATAGATACTAAATATACAGATAGATGCTAGTACTGACAAAGACATTCCGGGAACACCATTGTCTGGGGCAAGTCTAGTAAGTCTTTTGGGTGAAGTCTGATTTGATTGGTTGCATATTTAAAGTTCAATTCAAAGTATGAGTCAAAAAATTTGTTTAGCACTCCTGAAGGACTAGAATGAATTAGTATTAATGTCTATCACTATGATAATTATTAACAAAACCTCAATATTTTCCAATGAAGGTTCATTTCTGTTTTTGTTTGATTTAAATGTTATTTGATGGAAGCATGCAATCTCTGGATATTATGTTCAATACAGTTTTTATATAACATTGTACCATTGTTGTGTTTTAATTTCTTAATTTAGTCCTGATGGATATGTGTACCTAAAGGAATTAAGCATAAAAAACATTCAGCCATTCTGATGTTACTTAGGATCCGCGTACCACTGCCAAGAACTGTAACTTAATTTTGGAAACTGTATTTTATGGCTGGGCCATAGCTTTGATAAATCATTCCTGAAAAGGAAATCATATCTTGCAGATGACTTTTATGAGAAATAATAAAGATGAAATAAACAGAATATAATCAACAAGTGTTGTTGATGTAAAAAAAGATCTGCATGGCTTGACCAAGACATGTACACTGGACCTCAGATTGTTATACTATCACTCTAACAGTTTCAGCTACTTAGTCAACAGAAATGGCCTAACTGTGGTGCAGTTATCCAAACGAAAGTAAGGGGAGGTTACTGTATATGTGAAAACTGCAGTGCAGTGGGACAGGGATCCTTAACACTCTTAAAAGCTTTAGCCATCACAACCATAACATGAGTATGTAGTGTTATCAAATGTATGTCATGTCCTGATTCAACACCATTGTTCTAGCAACTTCATTTCTGAGCAGATTTTGATCATACTATATACAGGCAAAAAATTAACACCCTTCAAATGTGTTAATATTTTTTAGAAATTTGTCAACATATTCAAGGACATCACTCAAGCAGCTTCATTTCTTAACAGACTTTTATCAAAATTTCAGTGTTCCAAGGTCAAGGTTATTGTGACTATTTATAGATATACGTGAAACAGTGATGCTTGGGGCATCATATACCATTTTCTTTATAAATAATAACAATTCTAAAATATTGGCGACACCTCAGTTTTTATAAAACTATCAAAGATTGAGAATCATCTTTTTCTAAGTGTTTGTAAAAAAAGTTGACAAATGGACAAATAAGGCTGTACAATCAGCGTGCTAGATTTTTATCCTCTACCTCCACTAGAGAAGACATAGACCCAGTATTAACAGAACAATCAAGTATGAACAGAACAATTAAATGTGAAGTTATTTTCAAATTTTATTTAAATGTTCCCATATCTATAAAACACCGGAAATATCAACATTTAATCCCAGTCTTTATACACATATTTACACACACCACAGTATTTATATACTAGTATATAATAACATTGTTATCGTTCCCCTAAATGAAAGTACATGTATATGGAATAGATGGAATTTTGTGTCAAATATTTCTCCCACATAGTAGATTAAATATTCTGAGTTTTTAAATATAGCCACTTAAAGGGTTGTCTCATTCCCAACACACATACATTCTCAAAAGGGCCTTTACTGGCCAATATACACTAACACATGAAAGGGGCCAATCTCTTGGCCACATACACACACCTCTTGGCTACTTCATCTGTACATACCAGATACACAGAACATGGCCCTCTCTAGCCTACAAATAGTATGAAGGCAAGAGGGCCAGGGTTATACTCACGTCTCTTGCATAACACATACATATGCATAAAAAGAGCCCTTTGTCAACACAAACATGCACACAAAAATCCCCTTTTTCTTGCCGACATACATATTCTCTCTTAGATTACGTATACACACACACAGAACTAATCTCTTGGTGAATTCATACACAAATAGCCTGTCTCTTGCCTGACATGGAAAAACATTAGTCATTCGCATGCTTACCAGCAAGACAGTACCTATTTGTACAGCTATATAGACTGGAGCAATCAGGGAAAGTTTACTGTTCAAGGACACAGCAATATTGGTTATAACTGCTATCAGTGGAAATCAAACCTACAACATTTCAGTCTAAGGTTTAATTCCTATATCACAGAATTGTATGTCTCTACCTCACCCTGATCTCTTGTTTCAATCTTTTCACTCTTACTGAAGGTCTTTAAATTAAAATATTTAAAATGGATAAATTATAAATATAGATATCCCCTTCACTGTTGAAAACGTACACAGATGGAATAAAAATTAACCATATGTCAACATGTCCAACAACACACAACTTTTATCAACAACAAAAACAAAAAACATATAAAGGTGAGAAAATAAATACATTAAATGCATAGCTAGTATTCTACACACACAACAAAAACTTTAAAAACACTTGTCCTATAATGTAGACAACTGATATTTCTAGTGATATTTCTTTTTGCACAAAAATTCACATTGATTACCATTAAAGATGATAGCTACACGTTTGAAACAAACTGGTTAGCAATGCAAGTAAATAACTACAATATAAAAAATAATGTAGGATAGAAATATTCAACCCTTTAGTACTTATTTTTGGATTAAAAACCTCGCTAAGTCTGCTATTGCCCCAAATTCTGTACTCTCAGGTGGGACATTTCTACCCAACAAATAAATATGATAATCATACATAATTATATAGTTATCAGGAAAAAAAACACAGGTAACGTCACAAAGTTCAGTATTTCAAAATGTAAGACATCTACAGTACCTGGTACTTCATTTATAGCACTTTACCTTTAATATGCGAACAGGCATAGGTATTATACATACACTTGGGTGAACAATGGTCTGGTATGAAAAAAAAATCCTGTGCTTAAAGATGCATTAAAATTTTAGTCAATAATTTCATGATTAACATACAGAAACGTATATTTCTGTAGACACTTTTTAAAATATCTACTATAACTGGGCCTGATTTGTTGGACCTTTTTAGTAAAACTTGTGAGAAAAATGCAAAGGGACTGAAGAGGAATACTGATACAGTAACAGGTTACATCTCTATATCATAGTTCGAGGGATAGATCCATTGCTGTCCTCTTATTTAGGTTCAGTCAGTTTATCCCTTGCTTGGATACCACCAGGTATGCAGGGCGATTGAAGAATATGGAAACTAAGTATAGAAGTCAATCACAAAAAGCTCGGAATCAGTTGAGTTTTATTTATTAGGAAACATCTACCGGTTTCCCCTGAACAGTTCGCTTCTCAGGACAATTTTTGACAAAATTGTATACCATTATATATCACTATATCACTATTCTATTAGCAGACCAAGGTCACTTAATGCAGAAAAAATATGAGTATTCAAACCCAAATGACGACATAGAAATGATTCAGAAATGTAGGGACTGATGGGGTATACATGATTTTTTGCTTCTTTCCATTATAAATAGTAAGTCCACATCACATGATCAAACAAAAATATCTGGAGACCTCTCAATGTGGTTCATATGACTTTATAGCGATATAATAATGGTCCATGCCTCACCAAAGATTCATCCAGCAAATGTTTACCATAACATGTACCAGTATTACTGCTGCTGTTTGACAAAAAAGACAAGCCACATGTCTGTTCCTCTAAATATACTAATATATATATCAACACACAATTAATTAGGAATCAAATTTTCAGATCATGTACACTGCTATAGTTTAGGCACTTTCATGTGCCTAAAATACACTTTTGCTGAAGAAACTTTCTGAATTTATAAAACACACATTTATGAAATTCATTGAACAATTATAATCAAACCTGTCTGAGCAACTCACTGATATAATCCAATGTATTACTTGTAATTGTAAATGATAAAAGTAAATATGGCTTTAGCATCACTAAACAAAACAAAATAACACTCAGTAAAATTGAATATTATTTTCTGCAAAGCTTCCATACACTAAATAGTGTAGCAACATTCAAATGCATCCGGTTAATTACATTAAACCTCAGCGACTCTTGAAAATAGCAAACGAAAACACACAGATTTTCTTATTAAAGTGGAGTAACTTAATAACATGGACTACATACTGAAGCACTTTCAATCCAGAAACAAAACTATGCAAGTAAATATTGCTGTTCCTCGGTTAACATCCAATAACACAAACATGTACTACATTGTATCACTCTAATGTTGATTTACACACTTCTTATTGATCACATTTACAATCAGTAATAATGGTTTACAGAGTTAATCCTGGTCAAGTCAGACAATGAAACAGACACGGTAAAAGTACCGGGTAGTATAATTAATACATTATGTCAGCAGAGATCAGTTCCTAATCAAAATAAATACAGGAAAAGTGCTCTTTAGTTTATATGCACTTTATGATCATTCATATATTATCAATTTTAAAAGCAATCTAAAAAAAATGAACTTAGAATCAGAGGTGGAACCGAAGTATGGTACAAGGAACATGTATTTGATTTCTAGTTAGACTGATGAAGAAATACGGCAAAACCAAATGTCAAAGTTTGTATCAAAATATTTCTACCATTACAGTAACACAATGCATGTCATCCCATTTTTGTGGAGAGGGATGACACTTCCATCACTATAAAACACACACTTATACACAATTGCACAGCCAGAGTTGAGTAGTACACCTCTCTCCCTCACACACCATGTCTCCGTCATAACTTTAACCGCTTTATATCTTCACTTCGGAAATCGACCCTGTTAGGAAAAAAAGGACAATTAACACTGATGCATTTGTTATGTTTACAAATATATACGATACCATTCATTATCTTTTTAGACCTTTTCTTGCAATGCAGGCCGAGTCATTTTCAGACCTAACCACCAATTTATAATTAATCATCAATGCCTTTGTGCTCTTAGAACCTGTTATTAATTTTGTTTCTTCTCTTCTTAACCAATATTTTCACAAAACTCAAACATGTTGGTCTTAATAGTGAACCAGAGTTTGAGACAGTAGAATATGTTGATATGTATGTTTACTAACGATTATGTGCTACATATGTAAACAAGTATGACAGCTTACCTGAGTGATAAAACATGTCTGACCTCTGTGGGCGTGAGACGCCACGTTAACGGACCAGAGTTAGGTCCCCAGTAGTCCAGGATTTCTGTTACCTTAAAGTGTATAAAAGAAATGTTCAGATCTAAGAATGAAGTCCTTACAATGTCTTAATTAGTAGCAAAGTTACTTTTATATAGTTCTGCTTAATAAGAACAATGATTTCCATCAATATGTCATTTATAGTATGTTTGACCAATCACAATAAATGTTTTCAGTACATGAAAAAAATATAACAAGCAGTAGATTATAATATTAAAGTGGGATCCACTGTGTACATGTATTTAATTTTATACAGCATCATATCTGATCACAATTCAAAACAATATTCAAATATTTTTTGAAATACTAAGTTTTTCTAATCATATGTTGAAAAGTCTAACTTGATTTCTTAACAATACACCTCAGGTCCAGCTGTGATACAAACACAGACCTGAACCGCCCTGTACATATTATTATTTAATACTAACCTTCTCTAGGTTGAGGATCGTGGCCATCTGTGTTAGGCGGGCAAACTTGTCCCTAATTGTCCAGGTGGTCACTGTGGTGAGGTAGCCTACTAAGCTTCGTAACTCCTTGTCAAACTGTAGTCCACCAAGCTACAACAGACATAAACCTCAATTAATGTTTCACAGTGGTGAAGCATGAGTGTAACATGACTGATTGAGGGAAAACGAACAATTGTGTTTTCCTTCCAAAGAACCCAAAGAACAATACATGTAAATAGATTTGGGCAGAAGTCACAACAGTTTTATACAGAACTAAAGATGGATGTACATCCTTTTCATGTATTTTTCATACCATCTCCTGTGAAATCAACTGCTTCATCTAGAACTAGAAACTGTCTACATTGTTGAATACAATCCTGAGCACTGCGGCTGCCCTTTCTATATTTCACTATAAAGGGAAACTGGAGGACCAGGATAATTTAGAGGACCTTGCAGTTAGTTAACAGGGTAACCTATCGCGCTTTATGAGATCTTAAGAACTGCAATCTTTATTTTAGAAGACAAAACAATTGATGGAGCTACCTACCTTGTTGTATGCCATCTTGAGGAATGCAATGTTTATTTTAAAAGACAAAACAATTGATAGAGATGCCTACCCTGTTGTATGCTGTCTTCAGGACAGCCCTCTCCAGTTGTGATGTCACCTCCGCTGTGATAATGCTGACAAAACGGTCATAATTCCCAGATGATAATGAGCTCTACAAATAAAAAATGTATTTTCATTATCAGATTTGAGTATGAACTAAAAGTGTAAAACTGATGTCTTGAGGCTAAACAAATGTGTGCATTCATATATAAAATATTTACATAAAGGGCCATTACTCTTTAAACAAAAACATTAAGACAGTTCATTATGCACTGGTTCATATTATGACAGATGAAATTGTTGCAAAGTTCTGTTGAGGTGGTAAAGTTCTATTGATTAATTGCACAAGGCTTTATTACACAGAGTTAATCAGGGGCTACAACTCTCACGAAATATACAAAAGGTTTATATTAAGGGTCAGATTGATGGATATACAGACAGATTAATTCTAGTATACTGCTCTAACTTTGTTGGCAGACAAAATTGAACAGAAGCTTCAGATCACATAGTTATCTTTAAGCTCCAATGAGGAAGAAGAGAGACAAAGGCATATTGACGGAGGAGTGGAGTTTCTACCTTGAATGTGCCAAGTGTGTTGTCTATCTCCATAATGAAGTTCTGTACCCACGGATCATTGGCCTCATAATTGGAAAAATCTTCCTAGAAAAGAAATATGCTAAATCATGTAGCTGTAAGAACTCTTATTAAAATAAACAGAATTGAGTTACTTTAATATAAACTAAAAAAAAAATTTTTTCATTTCAGAAATTAAAACATTTTCAGTTTACAACCAGGTTATTTTCTTAATTCACATGTACCATCATACCAATAATATGTAAAAGATATGCTACCCTTGTTAAATCTTAATCTTAATTGTCCTTTTCATATAGAAAAAACAAACTACATGTATTGTGTATAGTGCCCTCAAGCGTTGTGACTTACCTCAAAGATATTGTGACCAGTGGAGAGGAAGCTGTCAGTCAGTGGTTTGACTATTGTGTATAGTGCCCTCTAACGTTAGGACTTACCTCAAAGATATTGTGACCAGTGGAGAGGAAGCTGTCAGTCAGTGGTTTGACTATTGTGTATAGTCGCCTCTAACGTTGTGACTTACCTCGGAGATATTGTGACCAGTGGAGAGGAAGCTGTCAGTCAGTGGTTTGACTATTGTGTATAGTCCCCTCTAACGTTGTGACTTACCTCGGAGATATTGTGACCAGTGGAGAGGAAGCTGTCAGTCAGTGGTTTGACTATTGTGTATAGTCCCCTCTAACGTTGTGACTTACCTCGGAGATATTGTGACCAGTGGAGAGGAAGCTGTCAGTCAGTGGTTTGACTATTGTGTATAGTCCCCTCTAACGTTGTGACTTACCTCGGAGATATTGTGACCAGTGGAGAGGAAGCTGTCAGTCAGTGGTTTGACTATTGTGTATAGTCCCCTCTAACGTTGTGACTTACCTCGGAGATATTGTGACCAGTGGAGAGGAAGCTGTCAGTCAGTGGTTTGACTATTGTGTATAGTCCCCTCTAACGTTGTGACTTACCTCGGAGATATTGTGACCAGTGGAGAGGAAGCTGTCAGTCAGTGGTTTGACTATTGTGTATAGTCCCCTCTAACGTTGTGACTTACCTCGGAGATATTGTGACCAGTGGAGAGGAAGCTGTCAGTCAGTGGTTTGACTATTGTGTATAGTCCCCTCTAACGTTGTGACTTACCTCGGAGATATTGTGACCAGTGGAGAGGAAGCTGTCAGTCAGTGGTTTGACTATTGTGTATAGTCCCCTCTAACGTTGTGACTTACCTCGGAGATATTGTGACCAGTGGAGAGGAAGCTGTCAGTCAGTGGTTTGACTATTGTGTATAGTCCCCTCTAACGTTGGGACTTACCTCGGAGATAGTGTGACCAGTGGAGAGGAAGCTGTCAGTCAGTGGTTTGACTATTGTGTATAGTCCCCTCTAACGTTGTGACTTACCTCTGAGATAGTGTGACCAGTGGAGAGGAAGCTGTCAGTCAGTGGTTTGACTATTGTGTATAGTCCCCTCTAACGTTGTGACTTACCTCGGAGATAGTGTGACCAGTGGAGAGGAAGCTGTCAGTCAGTGGTTTGACTATTGTGTATAGTCCCCTCTAACGTTGTGACTTACCTCTGAGATAGTGTGACCAGTGGAGAGGAAGCTGTCAGTCAGTGGTTTGACTATTGTGTATAGTCCCCTCTAACGTTGTGACTTACCTCGGAGATAGTGTGACCAGTGGAGAGGAAGCTGTCAGTCAGTGGTTTGACTATTGTGTATAGTCCCCTCTAACGTTGTGACTTACCTCGGAGATAGTGTGACCAGTGGAGAGGAAGCTGTCAGTCAGTGGTTTGACTATTGTGTATAGTCCCCTCTAACGTTGTGACTTACCTCGGAGATAGTGTGACCAGTGGAGAGGAAGCTGTCAGTCAGTGGTTTGACTATTGTGTATAGTCCCCTCTAACGTTGTGACTTACCTCGGAGATAGTGTGACCAGTGGAGAGGAAGCTGTCAGTCAGTGGTTTGACTATTGTGTATAGTCCCCTCTAACGTTGTGACTTACCTCGGAGATAGTGTGACCAGTGGAGAGGAAGCTGTCAGTCAGTGGTTTGACTATTGTGTATAGTCCCCTCTAACGTTGTGACTTACCTCGGAGATAGTGTGACCAGTGGAGAGGAAGCTGTCAGTCAGTGGTTTGACTATTGTGTATAGTCCCCTCTAACGTTGTGACTTACCTCGGAGATAGTGTGACCAGTGGAGAGGAAGCTGTCAGTCAGTGGTTTGACTATTGTGTATAGTCCCCTCTAACGTTGTGACTTACCTCTGAGATAGTGTGACCAGTGGAGAGGAAGCTGTCAGTCAGTGGTTTGACTATTGTGTATAGTCCCCTCTAACGTTGTGACTTACCTCTGAGATAGTGTGACCAGTGGAGAGGAAGCTGTCAGTCAGTGGTTTGATGCGGGGTTTGATGGCACTACTGTTGAGCTGTGAGAAGCCGAAGTCGACCACATCTTTGTACCTGTTACCCACAGCTGCCAGGTCTGACAAGCAACTCTGTAGTATAAACAATGTTCCTGTTAGTATACTGTACATTGTGTATTGTTCTGTTTCTCTGATAACAACAATTGTTATACATCATCTATGTAACAGTGAGTCTGATTGGATTATATTGATCACATGATGGAGAAATAAAACATTGCGTTCCCCTTAAACACTCAAGTTTCTCTGGTTTCCCTTAATAGGAGCCTCTCTAGAAAAATGGGCATAGGACACCACACCTTAATTCCCAATGATTGAAGCAGATAACAACAATGGCACAGAACCCTGATCATTTCAACTATTACTTTTCTGTTTTGGTCAACTCCTGGAATATCGAGGATGTGTTTTGGTATCATAAAATATTCAATGCCCTTGTGGTAGTGAAATAAGATTATCATGTTTCACAAGGGTGAAACACAAGTGAAACATGAGTAAGTGAGGGAAAATAAAGATTTGTTTTCCCTACCAAATGGGCAATAAATGGGTATGATACATTTTAGAATACATCACAACTATTTTATACAGGGGTGTTGCATTGAGCAGAGTCAATAGTTGAGTCAATCCCATGGTAACCTCTATCAGCCCGTCCCTTTTTGGGTCAATCTGTATCAGTAATTAGACTCTATTTGATCGATCTCTGGTTGAGTTAGTCTGTAGTAGAGAAGTTGACACGGGCTACAAAATATAGACTCACCTCTAACTTTGCCTTGCTTTGTTCTTCGCACTTGTTAAATAGTTTCGAAACTTCATCCTGTTTAGAAAAATAAAGAAATGCTACAATTCAATGTCATATTATCACTAGATAGAAGTATGTTCCCTCGTACTTAACACCAATGGTAAGCTGTGCTTGTTATATTATGAGAGTAATAAACTATACCTATTCACACATACAAATACAATTACTGTTTATCTAATGCATTGTTAAACTTTTGCTTTCTAATATAGAGATCAGTAACTAACCTTTTCACCACTGTAGACCATAATGGACTCATCCAGATCAATGCATGGTAGAGTCTGCTAAAGTTACATAGGGGTGAAAGGGCTAAGATCTAAGATTATTGATCCCTGTCAAATGAATGAAATGTTTATCATTAAAATGTAATGCAACCTTCTTCTTTTGTGATAAAAATCCTTGACCACAAAAGATAGATACCAAATGATCTTAAAATGTTTCTTGCAACAACTTTCTAAATGGCTGCTGTAGTGTTGTACTTGGTTTAAATAATATTTTATTTACAAATATGCAGGACATAATATAAAGTTTTACATAATGTAATGTTAGGGATCTGGCAACAAGAGTAGGCTCCTATATTAAGCCATCTCCCAACAATGAGAAGATTGCAGCATAACACAAACAGGTTAAATTACATCAATAATTATGTAAATTCAACTGATATATAGCTAATTAAACAATCAAAAATTAAAAGTGTTGTACTTACATTGAGACTTGTTTTCAACGCTTTACAATATTCACAGGTTGCTTCTGCATTATTTAAACTAACCTGGAAAGAAAGTAGAGATTGTTGATGTCTGTTCTCTGAATTGAAGACAAATTTTGAGTATTTGCACTCCTTTGCCCCCCTCATACCTGAGGTAAACCATATTCCTTAAAATTCTGACAAAGTTTGCCAAACGAAGTTTGTTTCGGCCAAGAAACCTTGTCATTAGAGTCACAAAAATGCAAAAAATAGAATACATATGTTGAAGGACAATGAAAAGTGATAAAGATAGTGCCGTCGCTGGGGCACCCGCGACCCTTGGCTCTCCAGTCCAATGCTCTACCACTAAGCTAAAGGGAAATTCCCTACAGCTGATGCTTGTAAGGCAACCTAATTAATCCACATCTTTTACACAATACAATGGTTGCTGTACCATATCTAATACTTCACTTGTGTGGCAGAATACCTCAGTATGTTTTGCTCATGCTTCACACTGGTGAAAATTGCAATGTTTTGCCAGAATTGTGAAACATGGTATTTAATGAGTATGGTAACCATTCAAATCTTCCCTGTAAGATGTTTCATTGTTGTGCTTTGGTTCCTGTTTTTCAAATTCAAAACATCACAAAACTGAAAAATTAATTAAGATGAAGCAAAATCAGTTATCAAGACACTTACATTTTAGGTGAACAAGATCGTAAAAGATTTCCAAAATTATAAAAATGTCTACTTGATTAATCAACACACTATTGTCACTTGATATAATTCAAACGGAAGACATGATTGCTCACTATAAATAAGGTTTTGGCCTGCTCCGTGTCAGAGGTCTTGAGATTTCCCTTGATGCTGGATTGGACCATGTTGTAGGCCTGGACAAGGTCAAACCCTAGTGGGAATCCTGACCTTAGTCTCGAGTACAGCACCTCACGAAAGTCCTGCTCCAACAGTGTACAGGCATGGTTAAGCATGGCACATACACCATCCACACTCGAACTGGAAATGGCACGCCTGTAAAAGATGAATTTATAGTTAATAATGTGTCCTACAAATCAATGGTGTACCATATTAAATATTACGAAAATATTTAACAAAGTGATTGTACGTTTGTTCAGGTTAACGAGGCTAAGTCCTTTACCACTTACCATGTGGCTTACCACATGTTGAAATATGGTAGATGACTTAATCTAGCACAGGTAAAGTATGGTGGAATACAGGTAAAATATAACAAGTGTCCTTACCTAACACATTTTTTGACAATGAAGAAGCTGTCATCCACCATACTGGAGGTCTGAGCTCCCTCGTCTACAGAGTCCACCGACACAGCCTGTAAAGGGCACATATAGTAGTTACAGTATAAGTAAAATGTGGGTGAGGTGACCATCATTTCTCTGTTTAATATGAAAGTTACAAGCACTGAATCAGCAAATCAGTGTTTTTTATGAGTGTTGTTAGATATACAGGCATTGCCATAAATGTTTCAACTTCCTCAGAATTAAAAGTTCATGAACACAGAACAATTAACATGTTTCATGTTACAATAAGGCAAAGAAGCAGTGTCTGGAAAAATATTTAAAACATAAGAAAGGAGAAAAAAACCATTCAAGTTTCAACCATTTGACAGCAACAGGACATAGCAAGCTTTTGAAATACAGTTCTTATGTACAGATGATTATCGACGAAATATTTAATAACTCATTACCTTCAGGACCATCTCCCTCATGAAGAACTCCTCCATCATGATGTAGCTACCAATGAGCTCCTGCATGAGACGACTCAGATCACAGTTTACTAGGAATGTGTTAACGTCCGACCCTTGAAAATCTGTTCACAAAGAACAAGAAATTAATGCAGTTTGTAGGAAGGTTTCAACGTCTGATGCTGTAAATCTGCTCTCTAGATAAGAAAGAGGCTAATTTCCCTTTTAATATTGTAGCAATGCCAGGCACATGTACATTAGATAATCGCAGCGAAGTTTTCAAATCAACACATGAGTATTGGTTTGCTTACATATTGTGAATAACAAAGCTTGAAGAAATACTATCTATCAAAACATAAAGCAACAAAATCTACCAAAAATACACAATTTCTTTGATTCAAAATCGATCAAGTGTGACCTTTGATCCTTTAATCTGGACCAATGATCGCTAAAGAGTACTATGCAGTATGCTGTGTAAACTGTGTAATACTTTATTTAGGTATTCTCCGTGAATGATAATGGGAAGGTTTTTAGAGTACTATACAGTATGCTGTGTAATACTTTATTTAGGTATTCTCCGTGAATGATAATGGGAAGGTTTTTAGAGTACTATACAGTATGCTGTGTAATACTTTATTAAGGTATTCTCCGTGAATGATAATGGGAAGGTTTTTAGAGTACTATACAGTATGCTGTGTAATACTTTATTAGGTATTCTCCGTGAATGATAATGGGAAGGTTTTTAGAGTACTATACAGTATGCTGTGTAATACTTTATTAGGTATTCTCCGTGAATGATAATGGGAAGGTTTTTAGAGTACTATACAGTATGCTGTGTAATACTTTATTAGGTATTCTCCGTGAATGATAATGGGAAGGTTTTTAGAGTACTATACAGTATGCTGTGTAATACTTTATTAGGTATTCTCCGTGAATGATAATGGGAAGGTTTTTAGAGTACTATACAGTATGCTGTGTAATACTTTATTAGGTATTCTCCGTGAATGATAATGGGAAGGTTTTTAGAGTACTATACAGTATGCTGTGTAATACTTTATTAGGTATTCTCCGTGAATGATAATGGGAAGGTTTTTAGAGTACTATACAGTATGCTGTGTAATACTTTATTAGGTATTCTCCGTGAATGATAATGGGAAGGTTTTTAGAGTACTATACAGTATGCTGTGTAATACTTTATTAGGTATTCTCCGTGAATGATAATGGGAAGGTTTTTAGAGTACTATACAGTATGCTGTGTAATACTTTATTAGGTATTCTCCGTGAATGATAATGGGAAGGTTTTTAGAGTACTATACAGTATGCTGTGTAATACTTTATTAGGTATTCTCCGTGAATGATAATGGGAAGGTTTTTAGAGTACTATACAGTATGCTGTGTAATACTTTATTAGGTATTCTCCGTGAATGATAATGGGAAGGTTTTTAGAGTACTATACAGTATGCTGTGTAATACTTTATTAGGTATTCTCCGTGAATGATAATGGGAAGGTTTTTAGAGTACTATACAGTATGCTGTGTAATACTTTATTAGGTATTCTCCGTGAATGATAATGGGAAGGTTTTTAGAGTACTATACAGTATGCTGTGTAATACTTTATTAGGTATTCTCCGTGAATGATAATGGGAAGGTTTTTAGAGTACTATACAGTATGCTGTGTAATACTTTATTAGGTATTCTCCGTGAATGATAATGGGAAGGTTTTTAGAGTACTATACAGTATGCTGTGTAATACTTTATTAGGTATTCTCCGTGAATGATAATGGGAAGGTTTTTAGAGTACTATACAGTATGCTGTGTAATACTTTATTAGGTATTCTCCGTGAATGATAATGGGAAGGTTTTTAGAGTACTATACAGTATGCTGTGTAATACTTTATTAGGTATTCTCCGTGAATGATAATGGGAAGGTTTTTAGAGTACTATACAGTATGCTGTGTAATACTTTATTAGGTATTCTCCGTGAATGATAATGGGAAGGTTTTTAGAGTACTATACAGTATGCTGTGTAATACTTTATTAGGTATTCTCCGTGAATGATAATGGGAAGGTTTTTAGAGTACTATACAGTATGCTGTGTAATACTTTATTAGGTATTCTCCGTGAATGATAATGGGAAGGTTTTTAGAGTACTATACAGTATGCTGTGTAATACTTTATTAGGTATTCTCCGTGAATGATAATGGGAAGGTTTTTAGAGTACTATACAGTATGCTGTGTAATACTTTATTAGGTATTCTCCGTGAATGATAATGGGAAGGTTTTTAGAGTACTATACAGTATGCTGTGTAATACTTTATTAGGTATTCTCCGTGAATGATAATGGGAAGGTTTTTAGAGTACTATACAGTATGCTGTGTAATACTTTATTAGGTATTCTCCGTGAATGATAATGGGAAGGTTTTTAGAGTACTATACAGTATGCTGTGTAATACTTTATTAGGTATTCTCCGTGAATGATAATGGGAAGGTTTTTAGAGTACTATACAGTATGCTGTGTAATACTTTATTAGGTATTCTCCGTGAATGATAATGGGAAGGTTTTTAGAGTACTATACAGTATGCTGTGTAATACTTTATTAGGTATTCTCCGTGAATGATAATGGGAAGGTTTTTAGAGTACTATACAGTATGCTGTGTAATACTTTATTAGGTATTCTCCGTGAATGATAATGGGAAGGTTTTTAGAGTACTATACAGTATGCTGTGTAATACTTTATTAGGTATTCTCCGTGAATGATAATGGGAAGGTTTTTAGAGTACTATACAGTATGCTGTGTAAACTGTGTAATACTTTATTAGGTATTCTCCGTGAGTGAGTACAAACCATGCAGACACCACCTAATTAAAAACCTACCTGTTTGGCCAGGGGCAGCTGCTTCTATGTCATTCTGAAAACAAATATAATAAACCAATTCACTATTGTCTTTTTTCCTTTTTAGGCTCATGAAAATTAACACTTTAAAGTTTACAATAGCTATGAAACAGATATGAAAATATCTCCAATGCACCACATTAATCTGTTCATGGTAATAAAAAATGAGACAGAAGTGAATTTTCAGCAAAGAACTAATTTTTGATTCAATTAAAACCAACCGCTTCAGTCTCTCACTCACCATAGCACGTCTTCTGAAAAACCGTAGGTACAATTCTGTTCTTGTGTTGAGAAGTACAACCTCCGCTAGTAGTACATCTAAATCTTTAGCATCAAATCTGTAAACAATACATTCTCATATATCAGAAGGGTGACATTTTTTATTTAATATGTCCAACGTAAAATTATTTATCTAGTAAAAGATCCTTTAAGGTTACAGATAACTTAATCACAATAATCAGAAGCTGGTATAAAGTAAATAAAACAAGAGGCCTAATAGGCTTTTATTGCTCAATACTTCAGTGTACAAGTACGTACATCCTCGTGATCAATAACATAGAAAGCACTCACTTGTCAGTGGAGTTTGGCTTATGGAATACCATATTCTGTTGGACCTGTTGTAACTGGTAAAAAAAAACAAATTCAATGTCATACATATAATGTTATGAAGTTAAATCAAGCATTAACAATCAACACATTTATTCAGCAAATTGTAATAAAAGTATACAAAATATTCTTTAAATAACGTCATGATATTTGCTCTTGCAGCAATTTCTTGTGAATGTACAGAGCTTGGGAAGTTTGATAGGTAAAACTAAAATTCTCTTCATCAGTATCAATCAATGACTATTTTGTATTCATGTTAAAAGCCAGCAGAGGACACCAGTGGGTACAGTGTTAGTGGTACAGCCTTTTTAATGTTGGCTCCTGAGCAGGCAACAAAATGGATATATATTTCAAACATTTTGGGTCCCTTTTTCTTGAATTTAATATACACTGTAGGATTGGTTTCTAAATGATGACCACCAGCATTTATAGTAAGAAACAAACATGATGCTATTATAGATCTGTCTAATAATCATTTGGGAAAAACAGCATCTGCTGATAAACAATCTAAAGATTTCATATCAGATTACCTAAAACATTTCAGTTCATATGCAATATGACACAGTGAAAACCCTGAGATAATGACTTACTATGAAATCAAACATTCTTTTCCTTTTGAATTCCTGGAGGATTTTTCTAGATTGTCTATCACACTCCTTCTGTAGAAATTTCAACAGCATGAATAATTTCCCATGGCCTAAAATGAAAAAAAAATCACAGGTAAATACTTGACAAATATTTGTGGTAAATTAAGGCTTATTGTGGTGGTTTTTTTATTCTACAAATTAAAAAGAAATGTGAACTTTTTTATTAACGACTGAATGTAACAGAATGACTTGATTCCAAAATAAAATTCTATGTGAAATTATGTATACATCACATCTCTTGTTTTCATCTTAATATCAAATAAAATCCATTTCTGTAATACAATTACATGTACTGGTTATCCAGTTATATGTGATATGTTTTTCAAACAAGATAATGTCAGTATTATCTATCATATACAATTACAGATATCAAAGTCAGTGCTTCTCAGGTACAAACATTTACTTGGTTAGTAACCATAGTTGCAACATCTATATGGTTGCTATCCAATCAATTTAATGCTTTGGTAAAAGGATGATTTACCGTAGTAAGTTTCCACTAAGGGTTGTCGTATCTCCACAATACGGGCTATACTCTCAAACAACTGAGTGGCTGTGTCAGCAAATACACAGTTAGCTCCCTTGTTTTCTGATCCCAAGGCTTCAGCAATTTTTAGGTTTTTATCACTGGTATCAGCCAGCTGTAAATGAAGGTGTCACAGAGATGTTACAGATCTCCAGGTACTGGTCTGACAAAGGAGGAATAAGGTTCAGTTTAACACAGTCAGATATTAAAAACAAACTCATACATGTCATGAGACAATTTATTAATAAATTGTTACTAAAAAGGGTTGTATATGTTCAGTTCAACAGGTCATAAAAGTTGTTCATTCTATAATATAATATAAACAAAAGATGTTATTTTTAAAACTCTGAAAATGTAAAAGTACTTATTTTGTGTTTCAAAGACTGCTTGTAATTCCAGATATCCTCCACAGATGTGATACTACAATGATTTAAAACTATGGCATAAATCAAATTTGTTCGTCCCAGATATTCATTTAAACAGTTTACCTGTGATGCCAAGTGTTTTCCAAACTTGGTAAGCCCTTCTTCGTGCTGACCAAGTAAAGGGAATATTTTGAAGAAGCGTTCTACAGAGGCCAAATCTCCTGCATGTACAGCTGCGTCAAATTTACTGGACACAATTGTCTTAAGCTTTTCTTCTGCTTCATGTAGAAGTTTAAAAGAGATTTCCAGTGTGCCTCCTGTGAAAAACAGGTAAAAAGGGCACTTTCAATCTATTTGGAGATGAAACATCATAAACTTGTCAAAAAGTTTACTTTATCATTGCCAAAAGATGTACAAATATTTCAGTTTACAGATCTGTCACAAGTTTCCACAGTTCAAAGATGGCTGTTTCAGGACAGTTTGGTTGATAATCGACCGGTACCTATCTCTTGATTTATCACTAAACTTACCTTCGTCTGCATCTGAGGACATCCTTAAAATGTTTTCATCCAGACTTCGGAACCTGTGAACGTGTCCTGCTGCCTGTTGGAGAAATGAATGAAATCAAATGATAAAAAAGATAGAAAATTAATTTTGTTTGCCAATAAATATCAGGAACTCAATATACTGTCCTATGATTAGTATTTATTTCTACGCTCAAACGAAATTGTAATTGAAATGTTTCTATTAAAATAAGTGCTGCCATATACAATATAAAGCAATAATAGAAATTATCTACAAACTTAAAGGTGAAGACTTAACAAATCCTACAAGTTTTTTTTATGTTACCTTCTCGTAGTCCTCATTCTGCAGAGCAGTCTGAACACCATCTGTACAAAACTTCAGATCTAATATATCTTCTACTCTGGTAATGGCAGCAGTTACATTGCTCTGAAACCAAAAACGCATAATTAGACCAATTATTTTATTAGATCTCATTAAATTGTGTCATCTTTACTCAAAGGTTATTGAAGAATTAGTAAAAGAGAATTTCAATAGAAGTTGAGTCCAATCCAGTACTTCGCACAAAATACAACAAATAACCTGTGTGATACAGTATCTTGTACAAAATGGACGAGTAATTACGTGTCTGTATTAGTAAAAATATAGAGATATTTACAATGCACATCATTAACTTGTGATAAATCTATATTGACACAAAATAATATGATATATTATCTACCATTTATAACTACACCTTATAATATGCACTTCATTCATTCTTTGATATCTCCCTCAGATACTGCTCACCTTTGCCAAATCTAACTGCCTCACTTTGCTGCTGACATTTTCCGCCAACGTTGATGTGAAGGAGACCATACTAGACAGTTGTTTAGAATCAGTTTCTAATATCTGGATATTCGGACTACAAATGAAAGGAAATAGCAGATTTTTAGACAGAAAAATATCAATATGTCCACATATCGGTGTAAACAGTCATGTATAAAGGACATTTTGATTTAAATGAATTTGTATCTCTTTGCAACCATACCCATATTTATCCTGCAATAAGCCCAAAGGACCAACACTTAATCCCTTACTCAAAGTAGGGATTGGATTATTACAAGACAATGAAATAGCTTTTGTTGGCGTTTCTAGAAAACTGCAACAGGTATAGGTGGACTAACCAGACATGGGCTTCATGCAAGATACATGTCAATTATGTTTTACGGTAAGGTCACAACCAAAATGCAAAATATCCTTTTAGTTATTTTATCAACATTTTTAACCATACCTGGGTGAAAATTACAGCAATCGCCCAAAAGATATTGCACCTGTATATATTCAGATTTATCATATTGTGAATTTAAATTCAATCAAAAGGGCCCTTTCGAGGCAAATTATTGCTAATGTTATGATGTCACAAAATAAATGCAGATATCATAAAAAAAAACAAGCTAAAAGTAACTACATTGTATAATATTGCAGATGCTATAGAATCTTTAGCCTAATACAGTGCGAATGTTAATAGAACATTCAATACATGCCAACTTACACTATCCTTTGCAGTCCACTCATCTTGTTTTCTAGGGAAGCCTGGTGTTCCAGCAATCCATCCAGTTGTATATTAATATCATCCTGAATATAAAGAAATTTACAAATGTTGTTGGTCAATCTGGTTATATTCTTACCAAAATTCCATTTCTGTATGAGAAAATACTTACAAAGTTCTTATGCAAGTGAAAACAACGTTTTTCTATGAGTATAGGTGGGCCTAATAATATTATAAAATGAAGTTGTGTTTCTTTACGGTAATATCTATTTTTGAAAGAAATATCTTTAGATCTTGTGATGATTTATTGTCAGTGTGATTCATTTTGTGGTTGTCAAACTAGCAGATTTTTATTTTGGGCTTGTGTATTATTAATGTCTTCTAGCCCCAGAATAGAATCTTGAAAAAAAATAATTGTTAACTATATTATGTTGAAAAAAGAATTCCACGGGAGTGGATGTGTCGCCTGATCAGCGCTTTTAGAAAAAAGAAAAGTGTTTTGGCTGGAGACTCAGTGTTCTCCCCAGGCTGTTTTTGCAGCATGGCACCATGCTCCTATAATTTCTTGCCATGCTGCTATCCTAGAACTTGTTCGAGCTATATTGGTATGCAATGTATACCAAGTTTGAGTTCAATCAACCCAAGGAAACTCAAGTTATCGCACAGAAACCTTGTTTCGGACGCTGCAACCAATGCCCCGCTCGAAAAAGGGTGTTGCATAATATCTAGATAGATATGTCACCTTTTTTTGTCATATAAATAATGTTATATCCAATGTTTTTATTTGGCAAGTGTCGCCTCATGGTAATGAATTTGATTAGTCAACGCTAAAGTTGTGAACAGTGGTGATCAACTAGTCAAGCTCCAGAAGCTTGAAGGTTAAGTTATTGGAGCTAAGAGGGGCCATCCCAAATGCTATATATCAGGAGGAATAGTTATACACACCATATCAGTGTTCCCAACACCCATGTACTGCACCTGATCACAGGAGTTCTGCCATTAATGAATAATAACAGTAATCCAAAAAAAATACCTATAATATGCTTAAAAAAAATAAGCATATTATAGGTATTATTTTGTATTATAGAGATTTACTGTTATTATTCATTATCGACCAGGTCCAGTACACTCTGCCGATTGAGCTATATAGCTGTAAAGACCTATAATAGCTCTATTGACCTATCTGAAATAGGTCTTTTGAGCTATTTTTTGAGTAATTTTCTTTTTTAAGGAAAACAAAACAAAGTCGCTTTTAAAAGAAGATTGTATCATTAGGTGGATAACAAAAGACATTAAATATAAGGATTCTTTTTAAAAAATAATGATGTAAAAAAATTGGAAATTTTACATTTATGAAAAATGAAAATAAACATCTAACTGTATGCTTTTTGTAGTCAACATTACCATAAACCTTATTGTTTAGTGCGACTTTGCTTTAATTTAATGAAAATTGAAATCTGAGAAAATATAGCTCAATACAGCTATAATGCAATCGGCAGAGTGTACTGGACCTGTTGACAGAAGTTTTGGCTCCTGTGACCTGATTGACCATCTGTTTTAAATTGTGTGTAAGTCACTACCCACATTCTCTGTATACAGACCATTTGCCTAGCCAAGTTTGAATTTAACTACCATTAAAAGAGTTAGTGAATTTCAAAAACAAAAGTAAACAGAAAATGTCAGAAAGGTGGATTTGCAAGAGTTGCCGGTTTACGAAGTTTATGTATTGAACAACAAAGCTGATGGATAACAGCGGCATTTTCAGAACAATATCAAAGATAACATACCTCGTCTGAGCATAATTTTTCGAAGGCATGCTTAATTTCCTCAATATCCGTCAAATTTTCCATGGTTTCTAACGCCGAGACAGACGTGGCATCTCCCCCTCTGGACGCCGCCATCTTGGCATTCGCAATGCACTATGGGATTATTTTGGAAGTCACTTCCTGTTTCACCATACTTGCAATGGATTACCGGTAAAATTCTTTTCACAAAATCCAGTAACATCACTTTATATTCAACACAAAATATGTATTCATATCTTGCATTCTACGAATTATTTATTTATTCAATCATTTATCATAATGACATATGGAAAATATGCATATGTTTTCGTTAAAAGGGACGTGAACATCGATGCTCTGCCTTTGTTCATGTGGCGTCATTCTCTAAAATGTAAACAACGTATCTTATACGTTAATTCCACCTTTTGCTTAACTCGTTGTTATACACTTGAACTACGTGATTGTTTGTTTAGAGAATCCATGTTATGAAGCCATAGCTTATTCGGACATTGCTTCAAAGAACCCCCCATCTTCATCCGTCCACTACCCGACTCCAACAGTGTTAAGAGTTAACATTGCGAGATACTTTTGTGTCTCGGTCGGCAAAATCATATCCGATAAAAAAAGGATGTGGCTCTTATGTTATAGAAGAAACCCCCCCTCTTTTTGGGTAGTTTTTGAAAAGTGGTTATTGATGCCGTGTGCAACATTAAATTTGCTTAACGTTAGGTTCTAATTGTTATATTGATATAAACCAAATTTTGATTATATTCGAACAGGTTTAATTGAGTTTGATCCCTTTTATGGAACTGTCCTTTCATCATGTTTAGTACAACGGCGCATAATGGGTAATAATCCTGCATTTGGGTAACAATTACCTTTGTGTAAAAGAAGTGCATTGATTAATTGCCTTTTATTGGATTATGTTGAAAGAATGACACACTTTTTTGCTCCCGGTGTTTTAAAAGAACTGTTTTTTTCTCACTTTCCCTATCCAAGTAATTGTTACCCAAATTCAGGATTATTACCAATATGCGTCGTCGTGCCTAACCTATTAATTGAGAGAAAATACCTAACTGTTGAGCAAATTATCTGACGATCTCAATTGAAAGAAAATGGTTGCAATTGCTATACAGTAGCTTTGTGTTTTCATTTCAACTTGTCTGCAAAGCAAGACTATTTGGTCCTAGAAAACAGTGATATTCGCGCAAACAAGAGGCAGTTCCAGTATGCTCTTATAGCATGTATCTATAATAGGATACCCACTCTCAGATGTATGTAGGTCCGTATTAACGTGATGGAATGAGGAATTTTTTTTTGTTATTTCAGAATATTTTATCAATATCAACTTAAGTATTTTAATTTGATTTTTTTGAAACTATCATTTTATATGTTTTTGGGACAGGTAAAACAAGATGTATTTGTACAACTTAACCCTGCAGAGATCCACTGGGATCTCTTCAGCGATCCATGGCAACTTCTCGGGCTCGAAGCTGCAGGAGGTGGTCGTGTCGCGGGGCAAGATGCTGGAGCTCTTGCGTCATGACCCCAACACTGGCAAGATCTATCCAATCCTATCTGTAGAGGTGTTTGGTATGATACGATCACTGATGCCCTTCAGACTCACAGGAGGAAACAAAGGTAAACTATGTTTCAGTGAGCACAGGCACTTTATGTCCTAGTATCAACCTGGGAAAATCCTGAAATTTAATTAAGAGCATTAGACCATTTTTAGTCAATTTCAAAATTTGGAGGGGCCATTCTGTGTAAGATTAAAAGAAAATTGGAAATTGGAGGGGGTCACTGGCCCCATTCCCCTCCAGGATTATCCCTGTCAACAAGAAATAAATACATACCTTCTCTACTTCCTTGGAATATGTCATGAAAAATTAAAGGAAAGTGATTAACTATGCGTTGGTTCTGGTATAAAGCTGACCAATGGCAGTGGTTATAACTGTCCTTTGAAGATTACAGAGGAGCAATGCCCATCTACAAAACGGTCAATTTATTACCTTTTGAGCAGAGAAATGTATCGATAGATTGTCTTCTTGCTCCAAAATAATAAGTACCTACTTCAAACATGTATATATATAGATTAATGTTTTTATTCTGAAATCTTGTTGGTTCTTTTATTGGATGAAATTATTTGCAGAGCTTAAATCACAGAACTTGAACTGTTCATTCTGTTATTGGTCATTCCAATATTATCGATAACAAGTTTTGCATCATCATTTCAGATTATATTGTCGTTGGATCCGACTCTGGCAGAATTGTCATTTTGGAGTACATACCTCAAAAGAATATGTTTGAAAAGGTATGTATTTTAGTATATACCAGAGAAAAAATTGAATATTTAACTATGAGGTGAGTGATAGACATTATTAGATGATTCCTGCTTTCTTCAAAATTAACATGACCACATCATCACAAGTTTTCTCCTCTGCATCAAATCAGCAGGTGTCTGTATTATGGCGCACAATAATTTCACAAAATTCACAAGTAATACACTAAAATTTATTTCAGAATTTTGAAATATTACTTCATATTAAATGCCTTTTGTTGATGGAAACAATGATGAACCTGAAGTGAATTGTTTCAAAGTGTATTTATATTCAAGGCATAACTGCATGACTATTAACCACAGAAGCTAAAAATAACAGAAATAAAACATTGAAGTAAACCTGTTTGTAGGTTCACCAGGAGACATTTGGAAAGAGTGGTTGTCGTAGAATTGTGCCTGGACAGTACATGGCTGTAGACCCCAAAGGCAGGGCTGTTATGATAGGTATGTATTGCCAGATATAGCAGTGCTCGGTAGGTGGCAGGATTCCAATAGAATTCTGTCCTCTATGTGCTGTGATTTGTTTTAGAAGTTATAAATTACAGAAGTAGAAAAACTGAAATTTGCTTTATTCTTCAAAACTACACAAAGACGACTTGCAAAACATGTACTTGTTTGAAAAGAACATTCATTCAAATTTGGAGTTGCATATAAATAGCAATAAAGGAATTTGACCAAACCAACTGAATATTGGTTGCCCCAGATGTAGGACATGTGGATTTTACACCTCTTAAATGTTTCTCTGAAGAATGTTTTTAGATCAACTTTTTAGTAAATATAATTGCAATGTATTTCTTTCATCAAAACATATTTTACATCATCTTGAGTGATTTATAAGATGGGTTACACTTAAATTTTGCAGGCGCTGTAGAGAAACAGAAGCTTGTGTACATTTTGAACAGAGATGCCCAGGCACGTCTCACAATCTCCTCTCCTCTAGAGGCACACAAGGCCAACACACTAGTCTACCACATGGTCGGGGTGGATGTCGGCTTTGAAAACCCCACATTTGCCTGTCTTGAAATTGATTATGAGGTAAGATCACTACAAGTATAAAATTAATATCAATCCAGGAGTTATCCCTTGCCTGGATACCAACCAGTATGCAGGGCGATTGAAGAATAGGGAAAATAAGAGTAGGAGTCAATCGCAACAAGCTCAGGATAAGTTGAATCTTATTTATTGGGTATGTCTACCGGTTTCGCCCGAACAGTGGGCTTCTTCAGACATACCCAATAAATAAGATTCAAGATTCAACTTATCCTGAGCTTGTTGCGATTGACTCCTACTCTTAAGTATAAAATTAGATTTTAAACAGTCCTAACATGAACTAATGAAAGGAATTAAAAGTTTATAACTCCATCTGATAGTTTCATCACCTCCGGAGCATATCTTCTTTCTCTATGCAGTATTTTTTGGTGGGCAAAGTGTTGTATACTGAGTCAAACAATATTCAAAGCTGAATAGACCACATATATTTTGCTTTTGGAATATCATGTGCTGTTATTATAACTAAATGTATACTGTTGAAAGTACTTATATAAAAAATACAGGAAAGATGACTTTACTGAGCATCCTAGACCATTTTTTATACAAATGTTAGACTTGTACTTAAATAAATGTAAATGTTCAAAATTACAACTTGAAAATAAATGATAATGCTACCATCAGATTGATGTATTTGAAGGGGCTGTACGTTATAATAACAATCTTGTGTGTATGTGTTATAGGATGCTGACACCGACCCTACAGGAGAGGCAGGACAACAGACACAGCAGTGGCTTACATATTATGAACTTGATCTTGGACTCAATCATGTCGTCCGCAAATACTCTGAACATTTGGAAGAGCATGCTAACTTCTTAGTGTCCGGTAATAAGCAAGTTACTTCAAATTTCATTCTTCTATTTATATAGAAAACAAAACAGACAAAATATTGAATAAGATTTTTGGACTTCTCAGATGAGACTATTTCAAATCTCTTGAAAGCATCAGGTTATATGACAGTATTAAACTTGGTTATTTTATGCTAATATGTTTCTTTGTATAAAAAAAAGAACATGCATTGAAAGATAATGATTGTGCTTTCATTACAGTGCCTGGTGGTAGTGATGGTCCAAGTGGTGTACTCATCTGCTCGGAGAACTACATCACCTACAAAAACTTAGGTGACCAGCCAGATATCAGGTGCCCCATTCCTCGTAGGAGGGTAAGTACTTTACTATCTCGAGCAATCTCAGCATTAATTGACAAATGTTCAAATGTTTTACAGCTCTGTGAGCTTGTGTAGAAAAGGGTTTAGGTGTTGTTCAATCACTCCTCTAGGTTGTGTAGACAGCGCATTAGAGAGCATTTTAGTGGGTATAGGGGAAGTACTTTAATAAATGGAGGATTGTATGTAAATAAATCTCGCACAAAAACATATCAAGTAAATTGTCATCCACAGATAAATATCATGACTTTTAGACTTAGACATGGTGTTTTGATAGGTATGCTGCATAACATGCAAATAGGTAAACTTGTTTCGATGATTAATGTTATTGGAACAGGTCACAATAGTATTACTGATGTAATATGGACTTCGGCTTTCTTTCAGAATGATTTGGATGATCCAGAGAGAGGCATGATTTTTGTCTGCAGTGCAACTCACAAAACAAAAGTAAGGAATATATTTAATTCGCACATTTTAGAAAACAATTTAATGTTTCAACTAAAGGATATTTGAATAACATAAATATTAAAAAAAATCATGATCGTTTAAGATTTATTTCTAATTGTTTTAAACATAAAATTTGATGTTCACAATTGTTACTTTCACCAATGGTTACCTATAGCTAGACACTTGCTTTCCTGAAATTATTTTCTCACCTGACAAATGTTGCCATGCCACCAGTTTAGATATGTGCATACAATTACACCAGGTCTCAAATGCTGTAGACCTCATCTCCAACTAAGGCTGGTTAGATCAGTGAAACACTTTTTTCTTAAAGCATGGGTTAATCTAGCTTTTAGGGTAAGGAACCCAAGAATGGGGGAAATATTGATAATGTAATCGAGGCCCACAAAGCGCTCCACGTCAACTTGGATCAACTTTCACTTTGTTCCGGATGGAATATATTACGCATGCGTATGTCTGGTCAAATGCGTAAGCCTGGTCACTTCTGCACTTGACAGCAATGATTAGACGTTAGTGGCGCATGTTCAGATAAAAATAACTGAAAAGTCAGCAGTTCTTATCTAAAATGAGTCAAGAAATGATTTGAATTATACGAGGTAAAGAAGAAAACATAAATCAGATGAAGACACAAACGCATGAATGATATTGAAAAAAAAAGTCATATTTTGGTGCATAAATGTGCTAGTAAGTATGAGTTGGATCAGTGGTATTCATTATTTCAGTAATGAACTTATCAAATGAACTAATCAAAAGACTGGTTGCAAAGCACTATCAGAAATGGTTTGTGTACTGATGTTAAATGGAAATAAGGTCTTCAAAATAGGATTATATTTATGTAGTACAAAATACTATATTTCATTCTGCATTATAATATTTCTATTGTTTTGTTTTAATTTTCAGTCCATGTTTTTCTTCCTGGCACAAACAGAACAGGGAGATATTTTCAAAATAACACTGGAGGTTGATGATGAAATGGTATGTATAAGACTTCATGGAATAGTTTTTGAGGATTTTTTTCTTGTATTCTTTGCAGTAGATCAAATTGAGTGAGCTAATCCATTTACAACTTAATGAAGAAAAAGATTAAAGAAATGCCATATGGGATTTTATGGATTTTACTATTTTACCATAAAGTTCTCTGTAATTGTTATTGTAAATAGTAATAATTCCATAAATGTTCAAGCTTGTTCTAAAGAATGACTATTTACTATATAAAATACTGAAAAGACCCTTGTTATAAGTGGAATAATATAAGGGTTATCAAAGATGTGTTGGAATTTGTTTTTCCCAATGTCAATCTTGAATGTTCTATCGGTCCCAAACTGGTACTACCAGAGGTAACAATAGGTTTGCACTGTGTCCATTTTATATTTTATATACATCACCTGCAGATGCCGAATATTGTATTAAAAGTGAGAACTTCTTTAGATGGTTGAGTTGCATACTTAATTTAGGTCTAGGCCCAGTATTTTCAGAGCTGTAGCACTTTGTTTAGTTTTCATAAAACATATCAAAGTTTTCTGGAAGCAAAGAATAATCAATTGCTTGCAATACCTATCCTCGCTGTATAATGTTTATATATAAATAGTGGGGAAATACTTTTACATCTAATTTAATTTTGATTTGTTGTGTTTAATTCTGTAGGTGGTGGAGATTCACATGAAGTATTTTGACACTGTGCCAATATCTGCCAGTATGTGCGTTCTCAAGTCAGGCTTCCTGTTTGTTGCCTCCGAGTTTGGAAACCAGTAAGTCTACAAGTTGATCTAATCATCATGTTGGTGATATCAACTTTGTTCAAATTTATGAAGAATGAAATCTTGTTTTGCTGAAAATTGTATAAAATTATTAAGTAGACAAAATGAACATGTCTCTTATACAAAAATATTTATAGTGATTTTTTTTTCTGTTTTGTTTACGAAGTAAGATATTTGTTAGTGTGGGTCCAGGTATAACATATTCCTTATTCAAATATTTAGTTACCAATGTGTTTGTGTGGCAAACATCTTATACAAAAATAATACTTAATGTATTATAGTAACATTGTGTTTTACTGGTATGTCTGGTTCTTACAGCCACCTGTATCAGATTGCTCAGCTGGGGGACGATGACGAGGAACCCCGTTTCAGTAGTAACCAGCCATTAGAGGAGGGAGAGACCTTCTTTTTCTCCCCAAGGCCACTCAAAAATCTTGTCATGGTAGACGAAATGGACAGTCTGTCTCCGATCACTTCATGTCAGGTAAAAACATTGTAAAAGTTGCTGGTGAAAAATGGTACTTGATATTTGATATCTTTCAACTATTTGAAAATAAGAAAAAGTAAGTGTATTTGTGATGATAATGAGAGCATTATATTTCATCAGCCATTACCAGTAAAATATTTGATGTTTCAACAGCCAAGCAATTTGAATATAAATTTGTATCACTTTTTGATGGAGTGTAGTGTTTCAACAATTTTATTTCCTGGGAAAACAGATCCAGTAAAGAGGCTTTGAAAACAAATGATTTCTCTGCTTTAAATGAATTTACAAAACAAAACGTTTCTAGCAAAAGTTATTTTTTTGTACATCCACAGAAAATTTAGAGAAAAGTGCTGTTTATCTTTTTATACAGATTGCTGATTTGGCCAATGAAGATACACCCCAGCTGTACACACTATGTGGGCGTGGTTCACGCTCTACCCTTAGAGTTTTACGGCATGGACTTGAGGTACAGTTCATCTAGCTACAAGCTAACAAAAAACATGTTCAGTGTCCATTTAAAATTATAGACTACACTTCGGAATTTAATTTTTCTAGCAAGTTCAAACTAAATAGAAATTTTGGTTTTGAGTGTATTATGGAAAACAACTTTCCAGACTATAGAGTTAGTCTACAGATAAACCTGTCTTTGCACAACCACACTTCTGCTAGTCAAAAATCATATTCTGACAGGTACAGTTTACTTTAAACAATATCACTGAAGAGGTAGCTTTAGTTGTGATACTCCACACACATGGAGGCACGTCCTTAAATGACCTTAGGTGTTTAAAGGACGTTAAACAAAATCAAACCAAACCATACTTGTGATTTGTAAATAAAAATGTTCTAAGTTCTGAAATATACTCTTGACATCAATGTCGTCATTTAATTATATTTGAAATTTTTAATAACCTGTGTATAATAATTGCAACCAAATGTTTAAAAACTATCTCGAGTCATGGTAATAATATTACATTTACTTTTTTTACAGGTATCTGAGATGGCTGTGTCCGAGTTGCCCGGTAACCCAAATGCTGTGTGGACAGTCAAGAAAAATATAGAGGGTAAACAGGTTTACATTGTGCTTATAAAATGTGTTGATTTATATAGAGTGTCAGATTTACTTTTGTGGGTCCCTGCAGGAGATAGCAAAGGTTTTGACTTGTACTTCAGTAATTTGTCTGAACCTTGATACTGTATGATCCCATCTTGTGCATAGACTAAACTTCAGCATGTTTTAGAGGCCTTCTGGTATCAAATGGATTGTGTATCTCCCCAATTTCATTCAACATCAATGACATAAAAATGATAAGCTAAGCATAATTTATTGTTTAAACAACAAAGCAATATTTCTCTGATCTCATTGTATTGGTACAATCTAAGAATGAGAACTCGTGTCACTGAAACAAATTTTAGATAGTATTGCAACTTGTGCAAGTATAGAAAGTTCTTAGGAACGTCTTTATGATGCAAAGTTGGGTACTCCTCAGTTGAAAAACTGATGTACAATCTTTTTTACAGAGAAATTTCAGCCAAAATTTTCATTTCAGATATAAAAAAATCGAGGGTAAATTGAAAATCTTATCTGAATTTGAAAACAGTTAACCAAATGATGAAAGATATTGATATAAAGAAATTGATAAAGTGATATCTTAAACTTCCATTTCTGAAAGTAGATTTTTTTTTTTTTTTAAAGTCATGAAACCAAGGATGGCATCTGTGATCTATGCTGTATTTTGTTTGGGGGTTATATGTTATGCTGGTAAAGACATTTACCTACATCTGGTTTTGGAGGAGTGCAAAGTTTTTGAACACTGACAGGGATGAGGAAGTAGATGTAATATTTGGGTGTAGAGGTGAAGGTATCTGGGACTTCAGTTCGGTGTGATGTTTGGGTACAGAGACTGGGATATTAGGGGCCCACAGAGTTAGACTGTCAGACACACAATAATAAAGGCTGGTGTGAGGACCCCTCCTACACCATGCCTACTTTCTAATTTCAGGTGTGTGAAGGCTGAGTGCAGAAACAGACAAGAGGTGGGTAGATTCTCTCCAAAAAAAAATCATCATACTCATCAACACTGAGACTATTAGTCATTCTTCACACTGGGACTGACATGTTTATAGACAAATGCACCAAAATCAAATATAGACCTTTTTCAGTCTGATTTAAAACATTTTGTGGCTAAAGCCATGGACAATATGGTTTTGAAATTTTTGAACTAGATAGGCTTTTATATTAACCCTTAGGCTGCTACGCGCGACATCTGTCGTTTTGAAAGTTGGGCCGTCAGTGCTATGCACGACATATGTCGTTTCTCGGTCTGTAGGTTTTGATCGGTAGCCAGGAAGTGTGAAGTTGGGTTGTTGCTATACCAAACCAGAACGTGTATATTAGAAGGCTTCTGATTGGTTGTTTTGTCATTACTTTCGATATTCACGGCAGTGTACCCTAGTTATAACAAAAGGTGTGCGAGAGAATTTCAAATCGAAAAAAAAGTCATAAAAATGGCGGACGTGTAGATTGAAGCGATGAATATGATGGTAAACATTTATTCTCCATTGTCACCTACGATGAAAAAGGTTTTGAAGGGTTTGGCATGGTTGATGTGGAAATACTTTGGTGTAACATAATATGTAACTTTCCAATAAACGGATTTGTGCCCTACGCAAACAAGAAAATATCGGCGGACCGAGGTGCACATGTCGTCTGCAGGTGAGGCCAAATTGAACATTCACATTGATGCGTTTTGAGCCGATTTATTACTTCAAACTTTTTATCAGTGATTTAATCATAAACTAGACCGTAGCTAAGATATATCTATATGCCAACTGTGACAGTAAATGTATTGAATGGCGACCTGACACCTGTAGCAAATCACATGCAATTCTTGGCGAAATACCTGACCTTTTTACCCGAGAATCTCCGTGTAAATATACAGCGTCTTATGTCAAAAATGAAGTTTTAATCTCTGTTATCATTTGCCAATCACATTTTTAAAATAATTTTAAAATGATCTTCCTCTTGCTTAAATCTGATTAATTAAAAGTTTCACATTTTCTTACCTTTATTACCACCTGTACAGGTAAATACTGATGCAACTTTAGAATTGAAAACGTTCATATAAACTAGAGACAACAACGAACAATTTTCATACAACTTTTTTTCACATATAACAAATATTTTCCAAGTTATGCACATTTAAAAAATCAGGTAAATTAATTTCAATTTCAATAATTAATTCAGCAGTGGTGTCCCTTTACATAGAAATAAATGTAGCAGCCTAAGGGTTAACAACTTGAAACATCTTTCAGTTTTCTTGCCGGATATTTAGTTAAATACTGTTGTTGAAGTTGGTACAGCTTTATCTCCTGATGCCTTGTGTCAACTTTGTGTTTAGATAGATAATTCCAATCTTGTGATCGTTTCAAGAATCAAAATTTAAATGTGGGTTATAGATAATCTGTTGGATGTAGCCAATGTTATTGTAAAAGTAATACAATACAGCTGTTGGCATCATTCAATGAGATCTGGATGTCAATCTTGAAGCATTCTCATTGTGAAAAGGGCAAATTTTGAATACCATATGGTCATTTACAGACTTGCCATTCTAGAATGCAAGTCTTAATGGGTTTTCCTGGGTGTAACTGAACAGGAATACCTGTGTCTGGTTCAATACAACGTCATGTATCTTTTTGTGAATGTCGCATTCAATTTAGTTGTGGTTTTTTTCTCAGTTTAATCATTTTAGTGATGATTAAATTGTTATTCATGTGATTGAACTATTAAAATTTGGACAAATCTGTTTTTCAACATTTATTCTTCTGGGTATTTGCTCATGTGATATTAATTCTGAAGGGGAAAATCCTTAATATCAGTTTGAGGTCAGAGATGAGTTTTAAGGTATCCTAAATATTTAACTGTTATAGCTGGTGTAAAATAAGAAGTAAAAAATACATGTGATGAATTGTTCACTAGTTGATCTCTCTATCATGGCCAGAAATTCTGCTTTGTCTTTACAGACGAGTTTGATGCTTACATCATCGTGTCCTTCGTGAACGCCACACTGGTCCTGTCTATTGGGGAGACAGTTGAGGAAGTGACTGACTCTGGCTTCCTGGGAACCACTCCCACCATTTCCTGTTCACAGCTTGGAGACGACGCCTTGGTACAGGTCTGTACAAATCAAACTCCATAACCTTATGTTTGATTGAAGGGCAACATTAAAATCTGTCACACTTTCGTTAATTCAATTTAGATATGATACCGAGTATGAAGTAACCAATTAAATTTGCTTAAACTCAAATATTACATTCGCTCTGAACAGTAGTCTTCTGGATCTAGTGACAATGATATTATTGTTGTATTGAACTTAATTGCATGTAGATGCTTTATTTTGATTTGTTTGACTCTTTTACTTCTACAGATATATCCGGATGGTATCCGTCATATCCGTTCAGATAAGCGTGTCAACGAATGGAAGACTCCAGGCAAGAAAAACATCGTCAAATGTGCTGTGAATCAGAGACAGGTGGTCATTGCTCTTACTGGTGGAGAGTTGGTCTACTTTGAAATGGACCCAGTAAGTTTTCCTAACGAATGTTATAAACCTTAAGTGACCATGTGGTGTGACTAGATAATTGACACATTAGTCACATGACTCGAGGATTGAACCATGACTGAATAAAACTGACAGATGGCATAAATCTTTTATCAATTTATTTTAAATTTTAATTTGATAATCTATATCCAGTTTATATAAATCATTATACAAGCTTACATGAGAATATCAAACGGTTATTGATTGTACAAGATAAGTAATATCTGAAGCACAATATTGTAATAAGATGGTAGTTGTACGTGATCTGCATGAACATGATGTCATTTATCTATCCGTGTTTCACCTGAATTACACTGATTACATATAGATTCTGATTCATGCAGTTTAAAACAAATATGCTTTCTGAAAAAAGACATTCTAGCTACAGCCAGAAAATGTGGCATAAAAAGGAAGCATTATTAAATAATCTTGGTTTATTTCTTTTAAAAATGATAACCACTTCTTTCTCTACAGACTGGCCAGCTCAATGAGTATACGGAGAGAAAGGACATGTCCTCAGATGTTGTGTGTATGGCTTTAGGTCGTGTACCAGTTGGAGAACAGCGCTGCCGATTTTTGGCTGTGGGACTGGCTGACAACACTGTGCGAGTTGTATCTTTAGACCCAACAGTAAGTCTTGCTTCAGCTATAAACGATCAAGGCCACTTCATATGGTTTTTCTTAAATTAGATTTAGGCTTTGTGAGATAAATCATAAGTTAATTTATAGAAAATGAAATTATTATGACTTACTTGCTGATATTGTGGGATTTATTTGTCAATCCAAGGGATCTGTATGTATGAACATGATGTTATTTATCTATCCGTGTTTCACCTGAATCACACTGATTACATATAGATTCTGATTCATACACATACTTTTGAACGTAATGGCAGATGGAGGGAGAAGGAGAAATTGTAACTTGTGCATTATTTTGCTTGTTCACAATTAAAATGGTTTAGCGAGTGAATGAAGCACTGTATCTGAAAGTAAGTGTTTATGATGTGATGTGTTTGTTGTGTACAGGACTGCCTGTCCCCACTCAGCATGCAGGCCATGCCAGAGCCCCCAGAGTCACTTTGTATAGTAGAGATGGGAGGTACCGAGGCTAAGGAGGAAACAGGAGAAACTGGCTCAGTTGGGGGTCTCTTCCTCAACATCGGTTTACAGGTAAAAGCAATCTCTTTATCCTCGCTGCTTAGGAGCAAATGTCCAAATTGGTAAAGCTCTTAGTGTCAACCTAGCATGATTCTGGAGTTTGTTTGTTAAAGTAAGCTTTTCTACCGAAGGTTTTGTTAAGACTGCATGAAAATGATGTTATTTATCTATCCGTGTTTCACCTGAATCACCCTGATTAGCTTTAGATTCTGATTCATGCAGTTGTTAATTATTAAAATTCATGTCATCTTTGTTTTACTGATGTGTTGATATCAGAATATGAAAAGTAATTGATATTTGGAAGATCTTAATATGTTTCCTGATTCCAGAACGGTGTGTTACTGCGGACTGTGTTGGACACAGTGACTGGTGATCTGTCGGACACTAGGACCAGATACCTTGGTCTGCGACCAGTCAAACTCTTCAGAATAAGCATGCAAGGCTCAGAGGCTGTAAGTTGTGATTTCATAAAGAGGAAATATAGAAATGTTGTTTAAATTGCTCCATGTTTTTATGCTGTAATTCTGAAGGTATTAAAGATATATTAATGCAATTTTACTTGTGTTAGATCACTGACTTTCACTTCAAGGCAAAACGAGTGTTTCATTTAAAGTTTTCCAAGGCCGTAATATTTAAAACAATCAAGATATCTTAAAATTTGCAATTATAAGTGTAATGGCATCATTCACAAAGGACATGCCGTAAACAAAATTCAGGTTGTTTATTAAGAGGGTTTTGAGTGCAACAAAACAAGTGCCTTGTTTCATGTTAAGCTTAAATGATATAACATTTAATTAGGTTCTGTAAAAATATACAAATTTTCTTTGTCAAGCAATAAAGCATCGGTGTGCCATGTAATGATGATACAACATTCTCCACTTCAGATGAATGAGATGATTATTGAATTTTCTGAAACATGGCTATAACAATGGGGTTTTTTGTTATATACACAGAAATTGGAAAACGATTGCATCATTGCATTGTTGGCAATTGTTGAAGTAAAAAAAAAAAATCACTACATTATACAGCAATATCTAAAATGTCGGATTTCAATTGTAGGTACTGGCTATGTCAAGTAGATCATGGCTCAGCTACACATACCAGAACCGATTCCATCTGACGCCGCTCTCCTACGAGACACTGGAATATGCCTCTGGATTTGCCTCAGAACAGTGTCCAGAGGGCATTGTTGCCATTTCCACAAACACACTCAGGTATACAAAACATTTCTCCCATTTCTGTCTGTAAGATAGAGCTGTCCCAAGTAAAAACAGCAGTCTCTTGGATTGGAGATGTAGAACAGGGTTATTTAATACATTGTAGAAATACATGTAAAGACAGCATGAAGATGATGTTATTTATCTATCCGTGTTTCACCTGAATTACACTGATTACATATAGATTCTGATTCATGCAGAACTAAAGAAGTGTTGGTGGGGAGGGATTATTTTCAATTACGAGGAACAAGGAACCTTGCAACATTTCAACATGTGTGGTTTTTGACTATTGGCTTTTGTAGATTTGCATTTTCAGTTATATTCTTCATGAAGGTATATGGTTTTTGATTACACCTAGGTTCTAATTTGTGCAAAAATAGAAATTTAAACGAGGATTTTGGAAATAATAAACACGCCTTTGGGTAGGTAGGGGAGAGATTTCTAATAGACCTTCAGAATCAACTACAGGCCTCCCATGTTTACTTAAAGGAAAAGCCCTCTCCAGAATGCACATACATAGCAATAAAAAATACATAGTCTATAATATACTTGCATATTCATTATCATATGTGACATTGTTCAATATTTATTGAGCCATAGATATTAAATGTTTCTTGGGTAAGTTCTTCATATTTTTAAGATAACAAAGTGCCATGTTGATGATGATACAATATTCTCCACTTCAGATGAATGAAATGATTATTGAACGTTCTGAAATGTCATGGCATTTACGTATACTGTGATTAGTTGTCTGGCACCTAGAGGAATGTGACAGTTAACAAATGATCTTAGTGGGATAACCCTTTAAGAATTTTTGGTTTACATCGATTTGAAATTGTACATGTTCCTGTAGTACCATTTTCTCCCATTTCTGTCTGTAAGATAGAACTGTCCCAAATATAAAAAACAGCAGTCGCACAGAGATGTAGAACAGGGTTATTTAATACATTGTAGAAATACATGTAAAGACAGCATGAAGATGATGTTATTTATCTATCCGTGTTTCACCTGAATTACACTGATTACATATAGATTCTGATTCATGCAGAACTAAAGAAGTGTTGGTGGGAAGGGATTATTTTCATGTAAGAGGAACAAGGAATACTGTAATTAGTTGTCTGGCACCTAGAGGAATGTGACAGTTAACAAATGATCTTAGTGGGATAACCCTTTAAGAATTTTTGGTTTACATCGATTTGAAATTGTACACATTCCTGTAGTATCAATTTTAAGCTCTTTTATTTTCAACCAAGTCTTGGATTTTGTGAAAAGTTTAATAGTCGGTGCAATGACCCTTCGTGTAATGCTTTGACTTTCATGAGAGTTTATACACAGAAATTTTGAATTTCATTTTTAAAACAAGTCGCACGGTTTCCTTGATGCTTTGATCTAATAAATACTAGATCAGCAAATGTATATAATGCATTCCGTTTCTTCATCATGTGTCAATTGTATTCACCCATCATTCTACACAATCTGGGGCAGGTTCCACATACACTTCATAGTATTCTTGTTCATTTAATTTTCGTTAAGCAATTAAAAAAATGGAATTGATTCCACTTGATAGTTGAATAATTTGCATTCTTCGCCAGTACTTGTAATTACCACGCAAATGATGAAATCATATTCTCCACTTCACCTGAAAAAGATGATTATTGAAACTTCTGATTGTGTGGTATTAACAAAAACTAAGTTTAATAACTTACCTAACACAGTTGAATACCTTGTAATGGCTTTAATTTGATGTGAACATTAGAGGTACTTATGATTGAACTTTGTATTCATCATTCTTTCTTGCTTGCCTACAGGATTTTAGCCCTGGAGAAGCTGGGAGCCGTGTTCAATCAAGTGTCTTATCCCCTACAGTACACACCACGCAAGTTTGTCATTCATCCTGAGTCCAGCAACCTTGTAATTATAGAGACGGACCACAACGCCTACACAGAAGCCACCAAGATGGAGAGGAAGCAGCAGATGGCTGAGGTTAGTCCCTCAGTTTGGTAATTTCTAGCATTGTTAACTAAATGAAACTAATTTCTCAAAAAGAATGGAATAAGAAGTATAATCTTATGTTTTTACTTCAGGTTCTCTTGTAAAGAACAATTTATAATATATTGATATTCTTTCCAACTGTGAGAAAGTGGTGTTTACATAACGTACTTGTTCTGTTGCTTGTTATACTTGCAGTTCTTAAGAGAAAATCCTTGGCCCCATTTGTTAGTTCATTTGATTTGTGGTAATGTGTGTTTTGTTATGCTTGTAGGAGATGGTTGAGTCTGTAAATGAGGAACAGCGAGAGATGGCAGCAGAAATGGCAGCAGCCTTCCTCAATGAGGAACTGCCAGAGACTATATTTGGCTCGCCCAAGGCAGGGTCAGGCATGTGGGCGTCGCTCATAAGAGTCATCAATCCAATCACAGGGCAGACACTGGACAAGGTCCAGCTGGAACAGAACGAGGCTGCTCACAGGTCAGTAGACAGGCAGGGGTCACAGATCAGTAGTATGTTGAAGGTCTCATGTCACTGATATAGTGAAGATCACAAGTTAATGGTATGGTATAGGTCACCTTGGCAGTTATAACAATCAAATGACAGAGGTCATGTGTCAAATGATGTAGGGTATAGAATGTTCATAGAAATTGTTCATGCAATTCCTGAACATCTTTTTAAAAAAAAAATGATGAGTCCCTTTATTAAAAGATTTACTGTGTTCTCGAAAGGTTAGCGAGTCGAACAAGAAAAGTATGAGTTCAGAACTCAAATAAATGAGTCATAAAAACACTGTCAAGACTGTTTGTTATTAATAGCAAGCATTGGCTTATTAGTACTTTTAGTACGGTTTGCTTTTGTTACCCTGTGTTTTGTTGTGTGGATCCACCTTTTTAACCTACAACACTTCCACTTTATCTCCACAGCATTGCCCTGGTGAAATTTGCGAGTCGAGGAGATGATATTTTTGTGTTGGTGGGTGTGGTTAAAGACTTGGTCCTAAATCCCCGCTCTTTGGGTGGTGGCTATGTGTACACTTATCAACTAAGAGATGGTGAGAAACTGGAATTCCTCCACAAAACATCCATGGAGGACATGCCTGGGGCTATCGCCTCTTTCCAAGGCAGGGCACTCATTGGTGTTGGAAAATACCTGCGTATCTATGACATCGGCAAGAAAAAATTACTCAGGAAATGTGAAAACAAGGTGGGTTCAGACACAAGCTTTTGTCTACAATATAACGTGGAGGTATACATGCGATTAATTTAATGAATTTCTCTCTAATTCATATTCTCTATCTTTATCTAATTGTATTTTTAAAAGCATCTTTATCAATACCCATTCATTGTTAATGACAAATAAAATGACTTAATTGTATTTAATCATTATGCATTTTGAGAATACATCGGATGTCAAGATTAAAATATCTGGCGACCCAAAAGGACATTTAATAAGGAATATATGTTAAATCATCAAAATATCAGATGCTAACATAGTTACATGTATTTTGTTCCAGCATGTGCCAAACTTTATTGTTAGTATTCACACGCTTGGTAACCGTGTAGTGGTAGCCGATGTGCAAGAGAGCTTCCACTTTGTGCGATACAAGCGCCAGGAAAACCAGTTAATTGTATTCGCTGATGACACCAATCCTCGATGGATTACAGCATCTTGCATGCTGGACTACAACACAGTCAGCGGGGCAGACAAATTTGGCAACATTACAATTGTACGTATATATGATATAAACCTGATTTACATTTGATAAAATGAAAGATTTAAGTTTTATCAATACTCTAAAAATTATTTTTTGGATGTAATAATTTTGGCACATCTGGGTTTAAAACAAATAAATTTCCTTTGAAATTGTGCGCAGCATTCCTTGATAAAGATAATTTACTGATCGATACCTGTACTTTGTTTTGTGTGTAGATCCGGCTGCCGACTGATATCAGTGATGAGGTGGATGAGGATCCTACTGGAAATAAAGCCTTGTGGGACAGAGGAGTGCTCAATGGGGCATCACAAAAGGTACTGATTAGTAAAAATACCATGTTATGAGACTTGGGGTGGGGGTATGACCACCCAAAGTAATTTACTATCCTAGGGTCCAATACACAAATATCAATAATTTTGTTAAAACACCAGCCATATGTTATCAATTTCAAATATCTCTCTGTCCCCATATATTGTCAGTAAGTTTTTACTTACCCTCCAATATATTCCAATCTTTAGTTGCCCTGACTGACTTTGCGTTTTAAGATTTCAAACAACAATGTATTGTACATTCTCCAAGTGAAAGAAACGACAGGTTCCTAGTTGATCCAGCTTTCCTTGTCTTCTTGTATATTATTAAGTTGTCATAGGAACATTGGCAGTGTGAATACAGGCAAACTTGTAAGCAAGGTTATGTTTTGATTTTGATTACAGACAGAAATAGTGTCCAACTTTCACATTGGTGAGGTGGTAACGTCCCTACAAAAGGCAACCCTCATCCCTGGAGGTTCAGAGTCTCTGGTCTACACCACATTGTCTGGTGGCATCGGCATGCTGGTACCCTTCACATCACATGAGGTAAGCAGTTTGATTCAGCATCTCTAATTCATATATATGCATAATTTCTGGCTTTTAAAGAGTTGTTTTAAATGCTTAAATATCAGAATTAGACCATTTCAAATGCTATGAAGTATAAGAAATCATTTCAATCTGAAATATATTATTACCAAATCAAATTTTAAAAATGCATAACATTTGAATATGTATTTCTTTGGGCTTATTTGAATACATATGACAGTAGCTATCTGAATATATCTGACAGTAGAGAGATACTATTCCTTTTATCTTCTAGGACCATGACTTTTTCCAACATTTAGAGATGTACATGAGATCTGAACACCCTCCACTGTGTGGCCGTGACCACTTGTCCTTCCGCTCCTACTATTTCCCAGTGAAGGTATGCACTTACTGTTTCCTCATCCTTGTCTGTGCCAGAATGAAACATGTGCCATTCATCTTAAGAAATTGTTACAAAATTAAATGTTGATAAGCAACATTTTATATGGTACGATGTAATCTTGCATGATCTTCCATTTTATATGAGATTTATAAATTTGTTCAAAGAGTTTTCATTTAGCAAGCACCTTGCAAGCTCAAAAGAAAAATTAGTGTCAAGTTCAACCATTAAATGACTTTATATTACATTAATATCACATGTGAATGGTTTGCTTTAACCAAAATATAGTTTATCAATAATTTTGATTTGTCTTGCAAACACTTCTTGGTTAGTTAGTAGTTAGGAAGGCATTATGAGTATATTTTATCACGTCTTTCAGTGATCAGCTATGTACAAAGTATTGTTATGTTTTACAGAATGTGATAGATGGTGATGTGTGCGAGATGTTCAACTCCATAGATATCTCAAAGCAAAAGGCCTTGTCAGAGGAGCTTGACCGAACACCAAGTGAGGTAAGAAAAAATCTACAAGTCAGGGATACTGATGGTGCATAGAATGTGGTATATAGGCCTAGGTCTTGTCATTCCCTTTTAGTAAAATTTACAGTAGATCATAGAGTGCTGTCAATCAAAATCTAGACAATATGTTGGTGAAACAATTTTCTCAACAAGTAGCAACATTGTTTTGCACCATGTATTTTACAAGCAAGATTATGGTGTATTTAAATGAGGTATATGACAGCATATTTGAAAAAAGAGAAATCATCATGTTTGATCAGATAACAATATAGATAAAATGTAGGAAAGAAACAATTATTGTTAGAAATCTATCACTGCAGAGTTGTCAGAACAAATATATGTCATTGTCTCGAATATTTACTTTCTGCATCAAGTTATGTGAAACTTCGGTAACAAATTGCAATCCTATGATTATTTTCTTAAATATTTTTGCATAGTTATGCCTACACGTTACGTGAAATGTGGAAATCAAGTGTGTAATTCTTCAGTATTTAAAGTGGTCCTCCAGATGAGACACCTTTCATCATAATATGTCTTCCTGTACTGATTGTCATTTTGATAATTTCAGGTTTCAAAGAAATTAGAAGACATCAGAACCAGATATGCCTTCTAAGAGAACGACTGACGCAGACATTAATTTATAAAGTGTTTAACTTGCTGTGGATACAGTGTCCTACATACCCATTGTGTGGAAAATGAGAGATCAGCGTTCTGATATAGGTGCTACCTGTACAGATCCAACGTTGGTTTCAGGCATCCTGTATCATTACCACTAGGCCTGTATTTAAGGACATTGCCAGGTGAAAACAGACATGGAGTATAATGGTGTGACTAGACAAATATTTCACTGTTAAGAAATGAAAATATCTTGTCCATAACATTCAAAGGAAGGAAAATCTTCCGTACAAAAACGATTCAAATCTAATGGATTTACAAATATATATTAATGTATTGCGTAAATCTGTGTGCATTAACTATAAAGGGGCAATGGTGCAGACTGTTGCAGTGTTGTGGACTTGACTTTGGTAATGTGCCATGGTAACGCCATAGTAAACAACATTTACTGGACTTACGTCACTGCCTGTACTTTTTGTGGTAATATAATGTTCCCACAAACGAGAACAAATGTGGCGTTTGTTACTTGGAACTTCAAGTGTTATTCCTCATTCAACACATTTTAAAGTGATATACTGTACAAGGTGGGGAAAATGTACATAGATTTCATTGACATTTGCAGAAGAGAGACATTTTTTTGGCGATTAGAGACTTCATTTTCATAATCCATCAACAGCATTTGAGTTGTTGTGTGATGAGCGGTGAGAGGCATAAGTGAGACAGTTTGTGTATGGAAGATGTGCTTGTATGTGTACAGATATTTTGACCTGTTGAACAATTTCATTTATATTCATAGAATCATTCATGTGCTTTACAAAGAGATTCAGAATTTTTTGTTGTGGATACTGTTCTACAAATCATCAATAAAATTGAAAGGAAAGAAAAAATCTTGTTTATCCTTGTAAATAGCTATGCAATGACTTGGTATTGAATGATATTTCTATTAATGTTCATTTCTATTGATGTTTGATTACTATGTGCAGAAATATCCAGAAGTATTAAATGTATATGCTTGGAGAGAGCATAAAAGATCAAATAGATTTGTGTATACTGAATAAATATGCCCTTTGCACACTTATGTAACGGGGATAGTTTGATCAGGATACACACCCATCTATTTCAGTTTGCATCTTTCGTGATTGTCATTTGATTGATTGGATCAACAGATATAACGGAAGACAATATTTTCCACTTAACAGTTAACAAGAATCCAGAATCGTTAGAATAATGAATGCAAACATGATGGATGGAAAGTGTGGGCACCATAGGCATCGCGGAATAGGAATATTATCGCGAAAATCGTTCAACTGTCGCCATCTCCCAATCTCCCCTGCTGATGACGTTTACAGTTTAAATGTCGGAGATGATTCGCTATTTAGGGACTTATTCTTTATACATGTATTAGGAATTTTTGGAGAGTTGCATCCAGTTGACCAATACACTTGTTAGTCAAGGTTTTCTTAAAATGTGACGCTTCAATTGCGTAAAGATATACAAATGTCAATGTCATTAAGACCCGATTTCCACCTAGCGACGTGTCTGTCTGGGTGAAGGCTTGTTCTCCCCTATGCTTTGATTTTTGGTGACGTACATAATTTACTAGAATTGACATCTTGTCTGGTGCGCGACATGTTTATCTTTCCAGAACCTGGTTCAATGATTATGCAGTAATCTTGAGAATTAAAACAAACTCGTTAAAATATGTGTGCTTTCCGCTAAAAGTAAGTCTATATCGGTGAAGTAGTACATGCTAGGTATACCAAATAGAACAATGTATTTAGCGCACAAACTTGGCACATTTGTTTTTCCGATTTTTAACAGATTATCTTAATGTTGACTTGGCGCACCAAAGTATACAATGAAAATTGCATACGCAAAACTAGTTTGATCCTTTCATGGACATCAAAAATATCTGGCGGTCGCATAACGGTGAAATTTACTGGCTTTGAAGTCTTGTCGTTCCTTTGTTATCTTCAAGGGATACATTCAGCCTGCAATTGGTCAGGTTTTTAGGTCACCTGAGCTTTAGCTCAAGTGACCTATTGCTATCCGTTTTCGTCCGTCGTCGTCCGTTAACATTTTACATTTCAAACAAAGTCAAGTTCTGCTTGGCCGATTGACCTGAAAGTTGGTAGGAATGATCGACTCATGGTCCTGACAAAGTGTAGTTATTTTTCGGGTCGTTCAGAAATCCAATATGGCCGCTGTAGCCGCCATTTTAAAAAACTATTTCAAACTTAAAGTCAAGTTCTGCTGGGCAGATTGAACTGAAAGTTGGTAGGAATGATCGACTCATGGTCCTGACAAAGTGTAGTTATTTTTCGGGTCGTTCAGAAATCCAATATGGCCGCTGTAGCCGCCATTTTAAAAAACTATTTCAAACTTAAAGTCAAGTTCTGCTGGGCAGATTGAACTGAAAGTTGGTAGGAATGATCGACTCATGGTCCTGACAAAGTGGTGTTATTTTTCAGGTCAATCAGAAATCCAATATGGCCGCCATTTTGAAAAACTATTTCAAAATTAAAGTCAAGTTCTGCTAGGCCGATTGAACTGAAACTTTGTAGGAATGATCGACGCATGGTCCTGACAAAGTGTTGTTATTTTTCGGGTCGATCAGAAATCCAATATGGCCGCCACAGCCGCCATTTTGAAAAACTATTTCAAACTTAAAGTAAAGTTCTACTTGGCCGATTGAACTGAAACTTTGGAGGAATGATCGAATCATGGTCCTGACAAAGTGTTGTTATTTTTCGGGCCAATCAGAAATACAATTTGGCTGCCATGGCCGCTATTTTGTAAATACCTATTTCAAACTTAAAAACAAGTTCTAATAGGCCGATTTCACTGAAAATCGGTCTAGGAATGATCAGCTCATGGTCCTGACAAAGTTAAGTTAACATTATACTTAACTATTTTTTACTAAAATTGGTACATATTTCAACAACAAAAATAAATACTGTAGGACTCAGGTGACCGTTAAGGCCCATGGGCCTCTTGTTTCACACAAGACCAATCAATTAGTTAGTCGCGTGCCTTCAATTTTGCTATGACGTATTCCAGGGGTGCATCTGTGGATTTCATCGCTTGTTTAACATTAAATCACCATACATACACATATTCTAAATAAATCCATAACGTATGAAAACACTTTCATCATTTACAGACTTACAATATATAGGACTAAATGGCTGTAAGAACTGACTGTGGTAATGGACATTTTTCAGTTAATACATACGTACATAGTCAAACTGACAATACGCTTGTCATTTGTAATATTGCACCGTTAGGTATATGTGTATGAAGCACAGGAACATTACACCGTTAGACTGATACTGTATGACAATGCTCATTGTGTTACCGATAGAAATATGATACGTTTGCCCTGTGACTCCATGCGTATCTCTATTCTTTAAATAAATAATTCAATACCGAGCAGTACTGATCAACAAAACCCATATATAACTCGTATTTCCATTAAAGTCTAACACAGAGGCATATAAGCGTATCTTTGCTATTATACTAAAACTCTACACGAGCCTGCCACTGTTAATTTATCTACAGGATAGCAACTGTGTGAGGGGTACTTCAGACCAGGTTACGTCCTAAGGTGGTGATCCAGTAACGGTGACCGTATACACTATTTGTAACATGTTTTGTGGAGGTAAAGTGCAACTCTTGCATTTACTGGTATTCCATTTCAACCTTGCAATTTCTGCTGACCTACCAGAAAATATGGAAAGAAACCTTATTGACGAATTGCTGACAAACTGTGACGTCAATGCACGTCCTACGACTGATCCACAAAATGCTGTTGGAGTAGACGTTGATTTCAGCCTGGATGGAATCGTACAGGTAGATGAAGAATCACAGACAGTAACGTCAACAGGTAAAGTCACTTTCGTGTGGAACGACCAGTACTAAGCATGGAATGAACAAACTATGAAGGAGTGAAAGTGTTAGCTCTAGATAAATCCCGCGTTTGGCTTCCTGATGCTGTGATTTTAAACAGAAATGGCGGCGATTCCATCATAAACAACCACAAGGAAAAGGTTAAAGTGACTTCAGACGGTCAACTCACATGGACAACTCACGGGACATACGTCACTTCCTGTAGTATTGCCATGACAAAGTTCCCGTTTGACCAACACATGTGTGCTATCAATACAAGAACAGATGTTTCAACAAGTCAACAGCAAATCTTTTCGCCTATGAAGAAAAACAGCACGCCCACAGTTCAACAAAAAGCATCATGGTCTTTTTCGACCACTTCATGGTCGTGTCCGGACAGTGGTCATTCAGATTTGACTCCGCACAGCAAATGCACGCTTCTATTCACGGTTACAAGGAAGAACGATCGCCAGTACATTGTCTCCGTCATTCCGCTTCTTGTGCTATCAGTAATGAGTTGCTTCGTTTTCATTTTGTCTGCAAAAACAATAGAAAAAATGACTTTCATATTGGTTGTTTTCGCAACTTACACGTTCGTGTTATTTTTTGTCCAGGAATCTTTCACCGCATCATTACACGGACATAGTAATTTGTCTTTGTACTTTGTCATACAATTAGCTATCATAGGCCTAATGTCAATTATCGCCGTTTTTACTGTAAACATCACTTGTAAAGATGATTTGAACATTTCGACGAGTTTAAAATGTCTTGCAAGGGTCATGACATGTAACCTTGAGAAACACGTTAGTGTTATGAGCTCAGAAAGAACTGACATCATACGGGCTGCTGGGGCGGACATGGCATATAAAACCCGGACCGGAAAGTTCAGTGACAGTTCGGGATCGGAATATGTGCACGAGATCACGTGGATCGACGTAGCTGCTGGATTGGACAGATTGTTTTTCATTTTGTTTTTACTTGTAAATATTATTTCACCTATAGTTGTGTTCAGCATGATCAAATCTTAGTCATGCAAATCCTGTATAATGTAATTCTTATTGTTAAAATCCTAGTAAATACAGCTAAGTTTCTATATAAAACACTGAATGTTTATATCCTACTAAGTAGTAGCTTCCTCAAAATGCCAGTATATATCCCACATGAAAACAATACTCCCACCTTATAAAGCCCAGGTATTCACTTGATTAAACTTTTCTCGATGTTTCACGTGATAAAACCTTAGTTCTCATTGTCTCACTTGATAAAACCTTCGTTCGTAATGTCTCACTTGATAACACCTTAGTTCTCATTGTCTCACTTGATAAAACCTTCGTTCGTAATGTCTCACTTGATAACACCTTAGTTCTCATTGTCTCACTTGAGAAACACATAGTTCTCAATGTCTCACTTGATAAAACCCTAGTTCTCATTGTCTCACTTGATAAAACCTTAGTTCACATTGTCTCACTTGATAAAACCTTCGTTAGTAATGTCTCACTTGATAAAACCTTAGTTCTCATTGTCTCACTTGAGGAACACCTAGTTCTCAATGTTTCACTTGATAAAACAAGAGTTCTCAATGTCTCACTTGATAAAACCCTAGTTCTCATTGTCTCACTTGATAAAACCTTCGTTAGTAATGGCTCACATGATAAAACCTTAGTTCTCATTGTCTCACTTGATAAAACCTTAGTTCACATTGTCTCACTTGATAAAACCTTCGTTAGTAATGTCTCACATGATAAAACCTTAGTTCTCATTGTCTCACTTGAGGAACACCTAGTTCTCAATGTTTCACTTGATAAAACATGAGTTCTCAATGTCTCACTTGATAAAACCTTAGTTCTCGATTTCTCACTTGATAAAACCTTCGTTCGTAATGTCTCACTTGATAAAACCTTAGTTATCATTGTGTTACTTGATAAAACCTTAGTTCTCATTGTCCCACTTGAGACACACATACTAGTAGTTCTGAATGTCTCACTTGATAAA